GAAAAAAAAAAAAAAAAAAAAAAAAAAAAAAAAAAAAACCAATATTGAGCCAACCAGATCAAGAAGACAGCACATTTCCTTTGTGTAAAGAGTAGATGGGGATATAGACATTAGTTCCTACCTGCTCTGTTTCTTGTTTGTACCTATCTGCCCGTTCCTCAATGGAATTTTTCTCTGACCGAGTTTGTTCCAGGTCTTTGCGGAGCTTGGCAATTTCTTCCTGCAGACTAAGAACCCGCCCAGTGGCAATCTTAGCTTCCTCTTCACTTAGTTGAAGGCGTTCTAAGTCATTTCGTAGTTTCTCAGTCTCAGAGTTGTATATTCCTTCCAGATTGGTCAGTTTCTCCATGAGGCATTTGTAGTCTTTGTTCTTTAAGCACACACATAAGTAACAATAAGTAAATATGCATCTCATCAAATGTATTTAGTGAGAAAACTATGCTAATTCATCACACTCATGCTACATCATCATAGCATTAACATAGTATCTAACAAAATATTCACCACAGCACTTACAATAACTAATACCCTCTCAGTGACATGAAGAGAGAAGAAAACAGGCACAATTTATCCTGTTTTATATAATGAGCAACATAGATGTGATTTTCTCATAGTCACCTGGTGAGTTACACAGTAAATTCTTAATTTCCTGATTCTTAATCCAGAAATAAGAGAATCTATATCTGCTTTTGAAAATACACCATAGTGCTGCTAAAAATCATGTACTAGCTAAGTGATGCATAAGAATGATAAAACGGCCCCCAAATCACAAGTTTCTTACAAATTTTTATGTTTACTACCTCAAAATTCCCCCTCCCACTCAAAAAATCTTTCTGATGAATTCTATTTCATTCCAATCCCTGTTTTTCTTTGCTCTTGTTAGCATTTATATATTCTTAATTACCTTTACATCATTTGCATGTGCTAAAATGTTACTTAGAACCTATCTCAAAACAATCACACTTTTATCTCTGCAAATAGACTGGAAGTTCCTCAGAATCAAGGACATCGTCCTGCTTTGTTTGCCATTTCAATACTAAGCAACTCATCTGCAGAATGAACTTTATACCATAAATGATAATGGTAAAAGAGCTCTGTAAAGTATAAAGTACAATATGATTCTCAATCGGAAAGGTTTGGAGTGTAAATTTAACTGTGTTCCCAGAAATAATTTCCTGCCTTAGTCCGTACAATTGTAATCTAACCTATGAGCTCATCATTATTTCCATGCTCATTACTGTCATTATAATATTTTTTGCTCAGACTGAAGAGTCAAGTCAAGGGGAAACAATATTGATAATAATCCCTGTGGATTTCTTCAGACATGCTCAGGGCTCCTTTTTAAAACATACCTGCTCATCGACTTTGCGCTGCAGCTGCATGATCTTGTTCTCCATGCCAATGTGGAGCTTCTTATAGCGCTCCACAGAGCGAGCCTCGATTTTGAGCTTCTTCAGCTCACGTTTGGCCATCATCCGCCGGAAGCAGCACTGAAGATAGATGATGGCATGCATGCTCCTCTTGTAGTGTGCACGAGCCAGCCAGCCCCGGACCCACTTCTGAATAATGACTGCTTTGTGCTCACGAAGTATCTGCAGGAAGGGATAAGGGCAAGTGATGTCAGACCCTGTAACAGACTCAAGGTTCAACTTTATCAACCTATGTCGGGCTGAGAATCCACACATTACCTAAAGTGAAAGACACAAAAGTTGAAACAACAAAGCATTATGTGGATTATACATATCATATATATCTAGAGGCACAAAATTATTTTGAAAAGTAGACTTTAGAAGGCAATTTGAGAAACATTAAAATATATGTTATCTTCACATGTTATATGTATACACTTAGCAGAATATACACTTAGAAACTGTCTAAATAAAAGGCACCAGATTACCAAAAGGAAAACAATTCTAAAAGGAAAAAAAATACATTAGGTTTCTGATTAGTGTATGGTTTCTATTAGCAATGGGTGATCCTCTATAAAAGTAACTCTATAAGATTAACAGAACCAGGCACCCTGTGAACTATACACTGCTAGAATAAAAGATTTGCCACCATCTTTACTGTTGATACCACCTCACTATGAACGAGGCTTGTGCATGAGGACAGGGGATATGGCCAGCAAGCTAGTTGTGGAGGCCAGCACTTAAGGTATGTAAACTTTTAAACCGATATATTGACTTTCCCCCCCCCAAAACAAAAAGATGACACTATTGTTTGCCATTTGAAAGGATCCCATTCTAGTAAAGATTTTCCGTTGCTGTTTCAATGTAGCAGGAATATGCTTATGGGATTCAAAGGTGGGAGAGATGAGGCTTTACAAGGCAAGCTAAAAGTAAGATGTGAAATAAACAAATCTTACTTTTGATTTTGTTACATTTTCTGGAAAAAAAAATCATGATATTCCCCTAAACTTACAACACAAAATTTTCCTTACAAGATGAACTTCCTATCAGCAAAGATCATCAAACAGAGAAACATTTTCTAGGAAAGGTGGAGAAGAAATTCTAGGAAAGGTTAAGCTAGATAGATCTTGACGTTCTTCTGAGTCTATACTATTATGAAATAATTCTTATATGATATTAATGATGTTTAAATGTTAAACACCTGATTGAGCACTTGTTAGTGATTATTACAAATAGACACAATGTATCTCCTATCAAACTTTTAAAATGTACAAGTCTCTGAAACCATCTATTCAAGTAGATAGTTAAATAAGATTATAAAATAGAAACTAAAAGAATATTTCCTACTTTTAGGTTATGTACTTAAGAAAAACTATTTTAAAAAATGTGCTATCCTAGAAGATACTTGTAAGAAATAAGTGTTACATTTGAAATGATCAAATACAAAATAAATGTAGGTGTTCAGGAGACCTTAATGGTACCTTCAGCCAATTCAGGCCTGCCCTTGTGGCCTTTCTCCTAATGCCAGGGCAACCTTCAGTTTCCCTTAAGTGCAGCTGCTGCATCATGCTGCAGTGAGGTTGGGCGTTCTGGACTGTCACTAAATATCACAATCCTGAGGGAGGCCCTTGTCTTATCCACATGACTAAGGAACAACTGGGTAACAGTGATGGCAAACTGAAGATTTTCAGACTTTAAAACTCAAGCAGAACACAGTGGCAAAGCTATTAATGCCAGTGTTCCTATTCGATTTGTTTCTTCTCTCCATGTAACTGAATGCTGGTCCATTTCTGTAATTTCATTCAAATGGAGACAGTATATATCCATTTTCAATCTCATTTCCATCAGCAAGTCAGAGAAATTAAAGAACATATGTACTCCCTTTAAAACCATTCCCCCAAACACCATGAAGGGGAACCCTGGACCTTAAACACAGCTAGGAGCACTAATGGGGTGACTACTGACCTACATGGGAGCAAACCTCTATCCTGACACTCCTGCTATGTCCAGTCACAGTAGGAGTCTGAGCTGGCCAGAGTCTGCTGCTGTTAAACCAATGGCCTCAAAACCCAGTTCTCACGTTCCTGAGGACAGTACTGAGGAAAACGGGAAGGTAACTAGTTAGGAGTATTTGAAAAGTCAAGTTTAAAGCTTTTCCATTCCCTGAAATATCATGCTTATGTAGAAAGAGCACAAGACTATAAAGGAGGCATGAGCACTGAAAGGACCTGGAGTAGGTGTCTTCAAATTTTCTTTAAAACACAGCTATTAAATACACTCAAAGTTCATCAGTTTTGCAATTTTTTTTGTTGTCTAAAATCATTTCAAAATAAAAAAGTGAAATAAAAAAATAAATAAATAAACTAATAGGACCAAGTTTACACCCACATACTACCTGTGATTAGAAACCCAGCCCCTAAATCCCCGTATTAATGTTCCTTCTAACAGTGATTCCCATAGAGATCTAATACCCAGACTGCGTATTTCTGGCTTATTAGGAATATCTGCTATAGGACAGACTCAGAATGCTGCCAAAACCAAAGAGATAAAAAAAAAAAAACCTTTCATCAACTGTCACAGGTGATGATTAAGTTGGGTGATCCATTATCTACAGAATCATGTTGATTATTGCTAGATATAAAGATTATTTACCAAAAACTTCTGGAGTATATCTCAGTGAGTACAAATTTAACCACATTAATCCTCTCCACCATGGTAAGTTCTTCCAAGGTCGTCTTGTTCTTGGAATAATCTTCTACCCATCTGTCATATATCTTACCTATTCAAAGGTCTTTATATAATCTGAATAATGGGCCCCAAAGATATCAGATCCTAATTACTAGAACCTACAAATGTTAACTTATTTAGAAAAAGGGTCTTTACAGATGTGATTAGGTTAAGGGTTTTGAAATGGGAAGATTATTATGGATTACATGTGTGGGACCTAAATGCCATAATAATTGTTCCTGTAAGAAACAGACAGGAGAAGAGAAATCAGACACACAGAGAAGATAATATGAAGGCGGAGGCAGAAATTGAAGTGATGTAGCCACAAGCACAAGGAATGCTGCAGCCACCAGAAGCTGGAAGAGGCAAGGAATGGATTCTCCCCTAGAGCTTCCGGAAGGAATGCAGTATGGCTGACACCTTGACTTTGGCCCAGTGATAATAATTTTCAACTTTTGGCCTCCAGAACTGCAAGATAATAAATTTCTGTTGTTTTAAGCCTCCAAGTTTGTGATAATTTACTACAGCAGACACTGGAAACTAACATACTCACTTTTTTTCCCCATTTACACAGACAAAGGAGAAAAAGGGAGGTGAAGTTTTTCCCCCATGGTCTTGCAAATAAACAGATGTAATTATTTAACATTTTAAAATACATTTCAATTGTTGGTTGTCTTCACACAATTCCTACATCCACAGTAGTTCCTGATGTACTTTGTATAGATATGGAATTTGATTAATGTTAACAGAATGAATAGACAAAGTTGAAAATAACACCTCACCTTGCGATACCTATTTCTGGCCAAGTAGCCACGCAAATAAGACTGAAGAACAATAGTGGCAGCTCGTCTAATCTTGTACCTCCTGTAGACCACATACATGCGCCAGTACTTCTGAATGATGGTTGCTGCTTTGGTTCTACGTAGAAACTTAGCGTAGCTGGTCAGAGAAAATAGTGGTATATTATCAGTAATCAGAAAAATGCAGAAATACATTTTAGGAAACTTAAGAGTATCAATGTCTTAGACATAATGAGTAGGTAGCACCTCCACTGTATTATTCTAATAATGTGCACATTAAATCAACATTTATATTTACTGATAAATACATTTGTATAGCAATTTATAGTTTCCAAAAATATTTTTACATTCATGATATCATTTGAGCCTTCCCTAACCCTGAAAAGTGGGATGGCCCATATTGCTGAATTTTACAATAAAGAAAGTTAAGTTCATAAAGGTTCATTCTTTCTAAGACAGGGCTTATTACTCCAGGCTGTCTTCTTTACATGGCAGACCCAAGTACAGAGTATTCCCATGCTTACTTATCACCAGCTTTCTTAGATCTATGCATCATTAATGTACCATACTTTTCTGGATCTATCCGTTTAAGTTCTTGATCATTAATTTATTTCTACTTATATGTCTAAATTAAAATTATCCCAATAAGTAATCACACTGAAGTGTAATTCTCTTCCAGACTTTTTAGTTAATTGCTCTCAAAAACTCCTCAAAGGAGTCATTGTTAACTAGCTCATATTCATGACTGTTTTAATTTTCACATGATTTCTTCAAGCCACATATGAAAGTGTAAAAAATAGAAAATTCTGAGGACCTGAATGGCAGTAATTTATAATTATTTGAAGAAGAATCTGAATCATTCATAAGGCTAAGTGAAATTTTATTCTATTTAGCTGTCTTAGGAGTTAATTTGTTAAGCCCTTGAAGGGATGAGGTGTTGTCTTTTTGGATAGAGTGTCCATTCATAACTGTCCCAGGTTGGACAATGAATTAAATGGGCACCCCAATCTTAGGGGCCCGTGCACAAGAGTGTACAGGTCCCCAGGAGACCTACCATCGAGCCTGGTAGCCTCGCACATATCTCTGCACAGTGATGGCAGCCTTCCGCATGCGTAGGTACTTCTTCCTCAGCAGCCACCCTCGGATTGTCTTCTGGATCCGGATACAGGCAGCCCTCAGCTTGTCTGCCCTCAATTTTTCTAGATAGGCCACTTGACCAGCACGGAAAAAGATCTTTGTCTTACCAAACTGGTATTTGTCCTTGTCCTATTTTTTGAAGAAATTGTACACTCAGAAATAATGATCATATAAATGAAATTTAAAAGAGAAAAAAAAAATATGGCTAAAAGCAGAATCAGTAAAGGGATGAATCTATTAGCTAAAACTTGGGCTATATCACAATTAACTAATGGAGCCAGATTTTTGATCCTACGCAAATTGAGCAATAGAAGGGATTTTAAGGAAAACTGTAGTGCAAGAGTTATTTTCCAGAATTATTCTACCTGAAATTATTATCTGAGGCCCCAAACTTGGTTGTGAGTTATAGGCAGCTACTATTTGCTTGTTTGTATTTTAAACATCTCAAGGAAATGGAGATGCTGACACTCCCTCTGACTGACCCAGGCTGTAAGGATTACATCAGGCTGTATATTCCATGAGAAAGCTGAAGGGACAAAAACACCAGCATGAAGAATAAGGCAGGAAGAAACACACACAAAATAAAACTTAAAAAACAAAAATCCCTGGGTATCACATTAAAAGTTTCTAAATAGTTATCTCTTGGCTTTATCAAAAGTATCTGAAAACAAACAAAACCCTATAAATATGTTTAAAATCCTTCTACAAATTTCAAACCCATTTCACAAAAATACAAGAGTACATCAAAAAGTTCGTGGAAAAATAGAATTAAAAATCTTTCTGTGAACTTTTTGAAGTACCGTCATATAATCATTTATATTGCCCATTGACTCTTCAGCATTGATTTTTCAAACTTGAGCAGTAAATCCAATTATGCACAATGTGATTTACCTTATCTAGATGCATGCAAATTATTAACCATTCTTGTATCAAAGAAGAGTGGAATTTACATATAATAATCACTACTGGGATCTGAAATTCTAAGCCAATACACAGAAAATCACTTTTCACTATAAGCAGATATCTCCTATCTCCTACATGAAACCAGAAAATCAGAAACCTCCACATATATCTAAAAAATATAAAATTATGTCAACTTAAATCAATAAAGTTTACATAGGAACCCTAACTAGAAAGTGGTTTCCTAGTGAAACCCCATCTAGTGGCCCCCATCTAGTGGCCTCTTCTGCCTAATTCCCTCCAAAGCCCTGGTCCAGGCCTGGAGTGGTCTGGGTGAAGAGGCCAGGCATCAGTCTCTACTTTCTGCTCTTCATTCCCATTGGAGCCCAGGTTAGAAAGAAGTTGTGTCAAACTCAAAAAGCACCATATTTTTTTCACATTACTAAGAAAGTGTCTTAGTTCTTTCAAAGAAAAAAATATTATCAAAGAAAAGGTATTACATTTAGTTAGTAATTATGAGCTAGTAATTATGACTAATTACCTCAAAGTGAGGTAATCCATTCAGACTAGTATCAAACAAGTGAAAATATTTTCTTAAAAACCTTTCATGAATCTTAAATTCTCCAAGACCTAGATCAGTGGTTCTCAAAATGTAGTCTTCACACAGCATCAGCATCAACTGGGAACTTGTTAGAAATGCTAATTATTGGGTCCATCCCAGACCCACTGAATCAGAAATTCTGGGGGTGGGGCCTAGCAATCTGTTTTAACAAGCCCTCCAGGTGATTTTCATGCACAATATAGTTTTAGAACTCTTTGGCCTGGCATGCGGGACTCTCTATAATGCCAACCTACATTTCCTAAGCATTTCTCTACTTCTACTGCCCCATACAAAAATCTTACACGGCAAAAAACTATACTGTGTTCTGAGCAAACCTATGCCTTCCTACTTCTTCATGCCTTGCTCCCTCTTAGAATATTCTCCTTCTGTTTTATACAATCTTACCCATTCTTCAGGGCCTGACTCAAAATACACTTCTTTCATGAAATTGTTCCTCTCTCCCACAGGTGGGTGTGGCTTTGCCTTGCTTTGATTTCTTATCCCACTCACTCAGCATCTGATATAGACATTAAGGTATACTTATCTTTAAAATGCATTACTTTGCAATATAGACTATATTACCTAAGTGCAAGACATTTTTTAAAATCACAGAGCATCTAGCCTGGTGTCTTCCATAAGTAAGTAAGTACTAGGTAAATTTTTATTAATAATGATCAAATTCTAAAAAGAGTGTGTCTCAAGTCTGGCTTCAGGCCTCACAATTCTGTTTCTGGACAGTGGATCATCATCCTCTCTAGTTTCAACATCATAAACACAGGGAGCCTCAACCTCCAAGAGAGTGTGCTCCCTCGCTCCCCGCCCCCACCAAATAATCTGGAGTAGTGATATTTTACATGGAAGTTCCCAGGGCTTCCAAAGGTCAGAACCACAAAACTTTTGGCCAATATCTGTTCAGATAAAGGTAAATGAAAAATCTTTCTCACCAGTATCAGTTTCTCTAACACATTCTTGCATGTTTGTTTTCTGTCACTCAGCACGTCTTTTTGCTTCATTAGGACACGGTAGCGGCTGAAAAATTCTTGGTAAGTCCACCTTTAAAAGGAAAAGCACGTCAGCTTATTCAAAGAAATAGGAACCTCTCCCATTAGGTTCCCTGTATTTGAAAAATGCCAGGCTCACCGTGAGGGGAAACCCGCCGCGCTAATTCGGATGGTTTCCAGGACACCGCACGCTCTCAGTTGCTGCACCGCCCTCTTCTCATCAAACCTATGCATAAAAATGAAAGTCTTTAATGCACAAGAACCTAACTGTAGCCACAAATCACTCTCCTCAGTCAGGTTTCAAATTCTTTTTTAAAAAGCCAAAGGATAAATCAGAAAAGAAAGCATTCAAAAGTTGGAGCAGTGATCAAAATGGAAAATTCCATGAGAGTGTGGAAGAGACAATTAGCAGTAAAAATAAAGAGCCATAAACATTACCTATGGCTCATACCACAAGCTAATAAGAAAGTCTATTGAATATATTAAAAACAACACAAAATTCCTCTGCACTTTGCCCATACTCATCAAATGGCTTGGCCTGACTAGAAGTTCTGAGAATTTATTAGCTCATCATACCTAGCTTCCCTGGAATAAAGGCTGGCCAGCCATGGAGATTTCTCTAACAGGAAGGACAAGTTAAGTTTTTATAAAAATGATTGGTGTTCTAGAAGCTATTTAATGTACACATGCTAAGCATTTATAGTGTCTCCATCAATGAGAAATGTTTTTATTTTATATTACATTATATATTTATTTCACTCTAAGCACATTGCATCTTAAAGTTAAATTGACGCTAAAAGAGTAAGTAGAAAGGTCTCCCTCCCACCAAGTGACCACTCCTATTACTCCCACAGTTAAGCTCTGAGCGATCCATCTAAGCCTTGTCCTGTGCTATCTTCTCAGGTGTTCCATTGGTGGGAGATGGGGTTGGCTGATGGAAGGTCATGGTGCCTAGGGCGGGCAGCCCAGGGCATGGGAACTTCTTCCTGCTTCTCACTTCCTCCAGAGAGGGCTTCTGGATGATGAGGAGGATAGAAGGATGGCAGTCTTTCAGAACTGCCCTCCAGTCTAAGGCAGAATCTCCACAGAGGAGGACTGGCAGGGGAGCAGGGGTACCAGCACTCACACTGTGGAGTGGGAATGGGAGTTATTACAATCTTTAGTAAAAGTGCCTGGTCTTTGACCCACAAAGTTCACTTCTAGAAGTATATTATCCTAAGGAAATTTTTGGCAAAAGATGTTTATTACAGCATTACCTAAATCGCCCTCAATAGGGAATAAATTAAATAAATTACGGTACGTCTATAACAATGGGATACTCTTCAGCCATTAAAATGATGATGTGGATATTTATTTACTAATACAGAAAGGGTCCACATCTATTAAGTTAAAAGCAGAGACAAAACAACAATTAGAGCATGAGCCCCTCCCTTTTGTTAGCTGTTCCACCTCCCCATGCACCCCTACCATGTACAGCAGGGAAGAAAGGAAGGGATGTTGGTTAGTTAAGAATAATCTATGCCAGGTTATACCAGTTCTCTCTCTGGGTATGATGGATGCTTTTTCATTTATTTTTATACTATTCTTTATTTCCTGAAAATTGTGTTTACAATGTACATGTATTATTTTTAAAATTAGAGAAATATTTCCGTTTTGGAAAAAACTTCCAAAAAGATTCATTCTCCCCTCATACATGGTACTTGAAGTTGGATGAAATGTTGGTAAGAGTAGAAATTTTCTGATTTTCAACAGTTGAAAAGTAGCAGGTAAGCCTTCGCTAAGCAGCTTTATCCCAAATTAACAAAAAGCCAGAAAGATCTTGAACTGAGGTAAAGTCAAAACAGGAAGTAGAACTAGAAATGCTTGACTAACCTAAACTTTTCAAATTCTCAGAAGGCTTAACTGTTAATTTGTTCTCACATTCTCAAAAGGGAACAAAAACTGAAAAAATTCTATTAACTAATAGTTTTCCACTCTAAGATATGAAGATTTACCCAAGTATTTTATTCTTTATGTTAGGTTGACAATCCTTATGAGATATGGACACTTTTTTATTCAGTAGTTGAGAAATACTTACGTGAATGGGAACTTGAAGTCATTAGGCTTAATACAGCGCACATAGTGAGGAGTAGTGGCATTGAGGGTCTCCATAAGCAGGTGAAGGGAGTTTCGGAACTGCATGAAAAAGGCGAAAAGGGGCATCAATGTTTTGTCAAAAGCCAAAGATGATGTAAAACAACTTACCATTCTCTTTTTATGACACTAACAGAGATAACTTGCCACCTAAGAACTTGACCCATCTTCAGAAAGACAGCTGCTGTTAAACAAGAATGCTAGGACTTTTGGTTAAAATTTGCCTAAACTCTACCATTTACATGCTTACTCTGCTAAATATACATTTGCTCTCCTCCCACACCTCTTCCCACTCCTTTTTAATATAGGTTTCTGTAGCTTCCTGCTGTGAGCTCAGTCATATGTGACTAACAATGTAACCTCACTTTAAGGCCATTTAGACTGGCTGGTTAGCCCACTCCGTTAGAGCATGGTGCTACCAAGGTCAAGGGTTCGGATCCCATACCAGCCAGCTGCCACCCCCCCAAAAAAAAAACCCCAGAAGAATAATATTAATATTAATAAAGTTAGAAATTTTGTTGAAAAAAGTAGCAGATGACTTAAAAGAGTATAGAACATGAGTGGGAGAATGGGAGGACAGCCAGAGAGGGCTTACCATTAGGGACATGGGATCAGGAATAGAGGCTGTGGACCTGTGTCAGGCCCTGTTCCTATCTACTTGGGGCACAGCGTCCCATGCACAGGAAAACAAGCTGACTAGCACTCAGTCTCCCATCCAAAGCCCCCACCCCTTGTTCAGGCCCTAAGCATGTGTGTAACGTTCACACTCCCCACAGAGTCTAAGACATGAAAGAAATAAGAGGGCACTGTTCTCACACTGAAGGAGCTCATTGATGCTCTGCACAAATCCAGAGACACAACAACTAGAGAACAGGACAAATACAGCAGTGATCTGAGAGAGATAATATGCACTAGAAGAACTAAGATGTGGGGAAAATTACTTTGAGAAAGGCTTACACAGAGTCATGGGTCTAAAGCTGGGTGGAAAGAAGTATGAGTGGATGGTGTTACATGTTCCCACAGTGGAAGCTCTAGCCTCTCCTCACCTGAGGATCTCTCCTGGGAGGCTGAAGGAGGAAGACCTGAGGCTTCAGGTGAGCCAGAGGGGAAGGAGCGCAGCAGCAGCTGGCTCCTGGAACTCACCTGGTGTCCCACTGTTTTCTTGTGCTCTTTGGCCGTCTGGCCTGGCCTGCCTTTGGTGGGCTTTGCAGGAATGCGGGTGAGGGGCATGCGCCCCGAAGAAGTGGCTGAGGTTGGACTGATGGTTTTCTCATCATCTTGAAATAGTTCTGGTAGCATCTTAAACTGAATCAGAAATAGTAAAAGGAAACTACACTCTAAGCCCAAACTTCAATGTAAACCTCAGAAGAAACATTACGAGGATTTTCAATAAATAGTGACTCTCTTCCCTAAGTAACCCTGTCAGAGTCACATTCCAAGAATAATAAAAATCTGTGTTAGGAGCCAAAAATATGAGAGGAAAGTGAGATAAATGTTACAAAAATATAGATGGAATATGTAATAATTCTATAATCATGTTTGGGGGAAAACAAAATCAACACTATTGTACCCAGACTTTAAAACCTAATCCAAAGGAAATGGCCACTTTAAACACATCACTGGTTTTGAAGTGTAATTATTTTATGAGCAAAATATTACTTGAAAGTTCTATCTTATTACCCCACTTCCACCAAATGGTTTATCAACAGGTGGTCAAAAACACTAGTCCAAGTTTGCACGTTATCAAGTGCTTACTCACCTGCTTCATCTGTCTACCTGCTAACTCAAGTGCAGAGCATTAACTCAAAAATATCACTGAAAATCTCAGCAGGAAGTGTGTCATGAACTAGTTCTACAATATTATAAGATTAAAAAAAAATCACGAATTAATAATTTTTAGAAAATAATTTGTACTGTAGGAAAAAGAAGTAAAAAAAAAAACCCTGCCCTTATCTCGTAAGCTCTTGTATTTGTCTTCAAGGGATTTATAACTTGATTGCATGATTCCTGTAATCAATTTCATATTCTATCAGGTTAGCAATATGAAAGACTGTTAAAAGGTCTGGTACTTAATAAGTGGGTGAATGGTATTAGACAATGTGATTGGGAGAAATTTTATGAAACAGAAGAGACGTCAAACTAATCCTCAGCAACATCTTGATATATGTACATACCTTTACAACAGTGCCACATCCCATATAAGTAAAATCAATCCTTCCTATAAGTCAAGTTATATTTGCAACTACCAATTAATGCTAGGCTATTCAAGATAGGCCATGTACTCCTCAATCGTATCTTTAATATCTTATTACCAAACAAACTGCTGGCTCTATATTAGCAGTTGTCTAAACTTTGTTTTCCTCTTCTGTGTGAAATGGTGAATAGAGCTGAGCTGAAATATCACATTCACCAGTAGGTACTAAAATTTAATTTAATATCTACAATATCTACCAGAAAACAGCTTAGTTTCAGAGTTCAGAATATATACATACACACACACACACACACACACACAGATTGTGCGTGTGTATAGCTTCTCCACACAGATTGACTTTTCCTAAAAAAAAAAAAAAAAAGTACATTTCACCTGTCTATCTGTCTATATCTATCTATCTATCTATCTATCTATCTATCTATCTATCTATCTATCTATCTACCTACCTACCTACCTACCTACCTACCTACCTACCTACCTACCTACCTACCTACCTACCTACCTACCTACCTACCTACCTACCTACCTACCTACCTACCTACCTACCTACCTACCTACCTACCTACCTACCTACCTACCTACCTACCTACCTACCTACCTACCTACCTACCTACCTACCTACCTACCTACCTACCTACCTACCTACCTACCTACCTACCTACCTACCTACCTACCTACCTACCTACCTACCTACCTACCTACCTACCTACCTACCTACCTACCTACCTACCTACCTACCTACCTACCTACCTACCTACCTACCTACCTACCTACCTATCAATCATCTCTCTGATGGCTGACCACTACAGGTATCCAAACCCTTGACCTTGATGTTATCAGCACCACACTCTAATCAAGTGAGCTAACAGGCCAGCCCTAAAAGAGTACATTTTAAATTGCTGTATCAGAAACTGTTCCATAATTTCTTCTTTAGTCAGTGTTCCTGCCTCTTCACAGCCATTTTCCCCAAACTTCTTTCCTGACTCCTCCTCTGGCCAGCCTTTAAAAGTTGGAATGCCTATAGACTCCGGCGTCAGCTCTACTCTTTTTTATCTACATGTTCTCACTAGGCAATCTCATTCAGGCTCATAGCTTTAAATACCATCTAATTTTAAGGACTACCAAGTCTCTATTGGCTGCTCTGATTTTCCCAGACCTGCTGACTTCATTTCCAACTTCCCATATGACATGTCCACTTGGCTATCTAATTGCCATCTCAAGCAAAACACGTCTAAAACAGAACTCTTGAATCTTTCCCCCAGAGTCCGATCTTCTACTAGTCTTCACCTCAGTAAATGGCACCACCATCCATCTAGTACATCAGGCAAAAAATTCAGAAGTCATTCTCAGTTTCTCCCTTTCTCTCACTTTCCACATCCAATCCATCAACAAGACCTGTCAACTCAACCCACAAATTGTATGCCACCTCCACTGCTACAATCTAAGTATTTCAGTCCATGCTCTTTCCTCTACATTACTACTGCCAATCTCCACCCACCCCAAATATATCTCCACACAGCAGCATATCATCTTCAACTGAAAACCTTCCCGACTTTCCACTACAACAGGGAAAATATCCAGATCCTTTATCAAGTCTGCAAGGCCCTCCCTCTAGGAAGTGGCCCCATTCCACCCATCCTTCATGTCCTATTCACCTACCATGCTCTAGCCACACTGGCCTTCTTTTGGACCTCGAACACAACCACCTATTCAGTCTCAGCTCTCCTCACTTGCTCTTCCCCTTGCTTTGCTGTTTCCCATTTTCAGGTTTCAGCCTAAATGTCATTTTCTTAGGGAGGCCTTCTCTGACTACCCCAGCTAATGTAGCACCTCGCCCCCGCGACAGCTTAGTCACTCTCTAGCTTGGTACTGTTTCACTTTCTTTACAAAATTTACTACTTTATGATGTGATATTATCTCACTATTTGATTAAGTGGTTATTACCTAACCTCATAAGTGCAGGAACCTCTATCTGTCTCATTTACCTGGTCTCCAATTTTCTTAAATTGTTAATTAAAAAACTTATCCATTCCCTGCTGACTGGAATGCCAGCTTTAAAGACAGGTAGATAAATAGAGAGATAAGTAGACTTGCCTGGACATTCCATCTTGTTTCTTTGATCTATCTCTCTGTTCTTAAGACAGAGATCTGGATTGCTTAAGACTGAACTTATATGTCTAGTAAACAGCGTAAAAGAAAACAGTAGAATCCAAGTAATAACTTCATGAAGATGTGGTAAATAAACACCACTACCACCACCATTATTCCCCAAGAAGTTTTCATACATGAAGCACTGTTCTAAGGGCTTAATACAACCTATTTAATCCTTATAACAATGCCATAAAGTAGATACTATCATGATTCTATTTTATAGATGAGAGATCTGAGGCATAAGCTCAGTAGTTAAATTGTGCTTCTCCTCATCAATCAGCAATAATAGAAAGTGGGGGTTAAAACTTATTTTAATGGTAGTTGGTAGAGTTGAAATTTACTAGTATTTAGTTGAGTAGCAATTCATTTATGTGCTTCCTGATAAGAGATGTGGCAACAGATTTCTTTATGGTGGAAAAACATAAATTAATATACCTTCTGTTAAATTTTTAATTCTTTTTCAAGTTGTAAGTTTGGCTAGGCTTCAAAAAAAAAAAAAAAAAAAAGACAAAACACAAACAGACTCCCACTGTATTAACACACAAAGAATTCTATTCAAAATACATAACACAAATATTAATCTTTTAATACTAGTACTTCCAAGAGAACAAATTAACCCTGTTATACTTGCTTCCTATCAGGTTACAGAGAAATTATAAAGTTTATACCCCCAGTTGGGTTTCTGCAAAGCAGGGAAAGCCTTTAAGTTATATTAGGTAAATCACACACTGTCCCCCCCTACAACTGCAACAATGCTACACAGACTGGCAGTCACTCCAAATGATTCATTAGAAAGCATAGCTAACTTTTGATGATAGCTAACATACTAGCCAATCAGGAAAATTAAGTCAGAATAAAGACACAATTGATTATGTGTGCCTTGAGAATAAGAATCTGTGAATGTTCTATTTAAGCTAAACTACTTTTGCCAAGTATAACACTAGAATTTCATAGTTCTTATCACTATTCATAAATCAAAATAATCAAAATATTTAACTAAATAATACTAGGGATTGGCACTGTGAGAATTTTCTCTTACACGCCAATATAAAACATTAATGCCTAGTGCCTGTTTAAGGAAAAAAATGACTTTTTCTATAAACACTTTGTGTTCTGAAGGTTAAAACTGAAATTTGATCTTTACACGATCTTAATATTACCCTAGTAATTGAAAGTAAGTTTTTATTCCAAAAAAAACGAAGAAAAGAAAATGTTTATATACTATTCCACTGAAGTTAAAAGGATTCTCTTAGAATAAACCAGAAATACAAAGAATGCCAGTTAGTAATCTAGAAGTGTTCACATGAAGATTTCTACTTCTTAATTGACTATCTGAATATTCATTTGGCTGAAATAAGTAACTGGTTTCCTGGTTTGCTCCCTGTGTAAAGAGCAGGAGCCACATTTCCCTCCCCATCCTTTCTGTAGGCAGAGGTGTGAATCCACCCAACAATCAATGTAGTGGAGCCATCATAGTTTTCTGGCAACTGAAATATTCTTTTCCCACTGGAAAGTCGTGTTTCTAGTATCTATGCCTAAGAAAAATAATTTTGAAGTGCTTTGGGTCACACCTGGGACTGCATTCAATGATGATCCAGAGATCAATCTCCATCTGGATGGAGTGCATAGGGCCATGTTTCAAGCACATCCCTTCAGTGACATAGCAGAAAAACTTTCTCTTATAGTCATTCACAAAGGCACAATAAAGTCTAGAACCACTGTGGAGGCAATAATTTCACATAAAACTGAAAGAAAACTTTGTACAGTGGTTAAGAGCACAGACTCTGAGAAAGATAACCTAGGTTTTAATTTGGCTTGAAAACTCACTAGCCACAAAGTATTTGTGCCTCAGTTGCCTCAACTGTAAAACGAGAATAATGATAATCCACATCATTATAAGGATTAGATGAGTTAACATTTGTAAGGCACTTAAAACAGGACCTAACATGTAGTATTACATATCTGAGAAATGAAAAGCTAAAAGACTGGTTTCATTAGAAAAAAATTATTATTGTTAAAAAGCTAATGCTTAAATAAGTAACATTTTACTGAAAATATCCTAATTAGAGTAAGCCTATCCATGGTTACCTTGCTTGATTTAAGAACTTTAATTTGTTCTTCAAAAACAGTGTCTTTATTCTTTTCCAGAAAGCCTTCACACTGGTATTCCACCTGAAAATACATGGAAAAATATCTCCTTAACTGATAAAACTTTTGAATAGATATTATCATCAACAACAACAATACTTATTAGGCTCAGGCTATATAACCAGCTCTCAGCAAAGCAGTATCATCAATCTTTTCTAAGAAACCAGTACCACTCCTGGTAAGGAGTATGTTAACTCCAGAATAAAACTCTTAAATATTGTTTTTCCTCGGGAACAGTGGTAGTGCTGATTAATTGTGGTCTAAAATATCTTACCAATTCATGGGTATACAGACTCATAAGAAGTTGATCCTATTTTCTCATGCTGGGCAAAGAGAGCTCTTCCAAGGCTAACCCAACACATCTCCTTCTAATCTAGTTCAACATGCAGCAGAGTTAAGTTTCTTCTTGGGAGAGAAGACATTAAAGCGGGAGAGAGCAGCAGAAGTAACAAATGGCTGTCTGTTGGACAGAGAGGTGAAAAGTTGACGGTGGATGGAGGTGGAGGCTGGGGAAATAGTGTATTATTTGGTAAAGTGGAACTACTTGAGAATGAACTACTTCTCTTCTAAAACCCCAGCAACTTCCTCCTTCTGCCACTCAAGGGGCTCCACAGAGCCCTTAGAGGCCCTACCTACAGTTATTTCCAAAACTGGATTAAAGCAGACTCAGAAAGTCCTCAATCCCTGAAGGGGACTCTAGGAAGCTCACCCCAGAAGCCTATCCCACAACTTCCTTGAAATATAGTCTCATGGCTCCTGATTTGCTAAGTATACCACAGAATTTGTGAAGCCACAAGTCAGCACGCCTTGTTAGTAGAGACCCAGTGAATCAATCACAGAGGGTAACGGAAGTCCATATCTCTATTCTGAAACCCTTGGGATCAGCTATGCTTTAGAACTCAGATTTTTCAGGTGTTTAGAGATGTAGTATGTACATATACCATTTTTAAATACCTCTAGCAGAGTCTAAAGCAGCAATCTTTAATCAAACACATTAATATTTCTACATTGAAATACGTAAATATCCAGCCTAACTAGGATAAAGACTATAAGTAACCTCATGTTAGTTCAGGTTAAGAGATCACAGTTAGCCACTAAATGAGGTATACAAATACTTTTGGTTCTAAGAGTTTCCTGGATTTCAGAATTATATAGATAGAGGATTGTAGACCCATATTTGTTTCATATATATTTAATTCACTTTAGGTTAAAGGAAGAGAAAACCAACAGGCCGATGCTGAAGATTGCTTTTCCTATTAAGGCCCTAAAGAATGCAAGCACCAGCAAAAAAAAAAAAAGACACCCTTTACCTATTGATTTTTTTTTCTTTGTTTAACCTAAGTATTCAAAAAGAAAAAAGATATAAAGCTTCCTTACTTTGTCAGCAAAATGTTGGATGATGAAAGCTTTGTTTGACAGACGGGGCTTTTCAAAGAGTGCACATTTGTTCAAATGTGTGTTGTACAATTTTTGGGCCCAAGTGTCATCTGTGCCTTTTGGCATCTACATTAAGGGAAATTAAAGAAAGAAAGAAAGAAAACAAGGTGAATATGGAGACTCTGCTGATGCATCAGCTGCAAAGAGACCATTTTGAGGCTTTACCCAACAACTTTTATGTCCAATTTAGGAACTTATTCCTTCTACATTTCTCTCTTAGAGGTCAAAAACTAATTACTAATGAGGAGCATGATGGAGCCCTTCCCATAAGCAACCCAGCCCAACTTTGGGTGACTCAATCAGCTTCTGCCAGGAGTCATTACATAAATCTTTGATCTGCTTTTAAAACAACAGAAGCCTCACAAGTTAAAGATGGAATATCATGGCTGTAACATACGTTTTAAAAATTTTGCTAAATAAAGGTTACATTTGCACATAGTGAAATATTTATATAATTCAGAAAGGTATTAAAATGGAGAGTAGTCTCCTCTCACCATTTCCCCCACCTTCATTATCTCTCCCTGTCTTTTAAGGCAGGTATATGAATGGGATCATTCTATACACTCCTTGCATTTTAAAATTTTTCTTAATAATAGCATTCTTTTATTTATGGCCACTAGGTTGTTACTAATTTTTTGTTATTATGAAAATGGCCACTGTTTTCTTCTTATATGTATATAACTTTGGATACTTTTGTAAGGACATTCATAGGTTGATTCCCAACAGTGCCACTCCTGGATCAAAGGGTATATGTATTTATAATTCTGATAAATGTTAAATTTCCTCTAAAATATATTACATAAATTCACATCCTTCGTCAAGTGTATATGTGCAATATTCATTTACTATTATCAAATGAATCATAACAAGTGCAAACTTGCCTATTTGATAGGTAAAAAGTGGTATGCCATTTTTCCTTTGCTTTGCATTTTTTTTAAGTCTCAAGTGAGGTTAAACACCTTTTCATTACATGCATTCTTTTGTGTGTGTGTGTTTGTAGTTGGCTGGGTACAAGGATTGTACCCTGGACATTGGTGTTACCAGCACCATGCTCTAACCAACTGAGCTAACCGGTAAGCCCTACATGCATTAATACTATAGGATATCTGGATACCTAGAAGAATCAACCTGTGATAGGTTGCAACATGGCATATAAACTAAAGAAAAATTAAGAGAAAAGATAGATTATTTGCCTAAGATTACTCAGTTAGTGGCAAAGCTGGAGATCAAATATTTTTTCCAACATGCTACATCTTCAACTATTAAAGCTAAAGCTCCATCCCTATCCTTTATGTCAGTAATAAAGAATAATTAATTAATTTTAAAATTATGGCTATTTAGAACTACTGAAAATATCTTTTGCACAATTGCTTGCATTTCTTTAAATATATCCTACCATTGAACAAGAAGTACTAAATATAAGCAAATTGAAAATAAAAGTGGCTAAAATTGGTAGTAAGAATATCTAATGTCAATTTTTCACATAATTTAGAATCAGCTGCAAAGAGAAGGGAAATTTTCCTTGCTTAACTTGTAATTAGAATCCTTGGGGTCTAATGGCTCTTCAAAATGAAAGTTAGAGTGACCCTCAATTGTTGCCACAATGGCAGCTCATGGTATACTAATGAATCTCTGCTTGAACCCACTTATCTTCTGACCTTGATACATCTATTTTGATAGATGAAGTATACCAGAAAATCATACTTACCTTGCATTCCTCATCCAGTAAATCTAGAATACCCAGTTTAGATTCTATAAGATTAATACAAGGCTGATTATCATAAAAATCTATGAGTGTCCATGGAATTTGCTCCTTCATATATTCTTCTTGTTCTAATTTAAAGACATGCTGAAATGAAAATAAAAAAGCAATCATTACTGGATCATTATCATAAAGACTGTACTCAAGAAACAATGTTTACATAAAACATTAGGAGGATACCAACAGAATTCGAGATAGTCCATGGCTTCCAGCAACAAAAATCTTATGGGAGAAGCATGGTTTACACAGAGAAAGCAAATAAAAACTACAGACATTAAAATCTGGTTGTATAGGATTCTTGGTGAACAAGTAAATCTAGGTACGTAAATGTTTTAAATAGCTGACAAATGTAGGAGTCTTTGTGATTTTTTGATTATGTATATTTCCAAAAATGCACTATACACTTTTAGCGTCATAAATTACTGCACAGTGCTGCTAATAACATGGAACACAGGAATGCCTTACCTGGCATTAAACAACTATGCAGAGTGGATGCCCCCAGACTACTGAAGAGTACTGGGCAATGCTTTCAGCATAACGAAGTAGTTCTCCTAAGGAGAATGGTGCTGAAATTCATGTGCCTCAGAATTAGACAACAGTTGGTCTTCTGTGTCTGCCTTGATTATTCTCCACACTCAGGGGATCTATGGTTCACTTTTCTGGAGTCTGCAAACAGCTGCAACCACTACCAATCCATTGCTATTTCTGCTAAAGGCTTCAGCCCCTGTCCTCATCATTGCTTCTAATCTTCATTCACTCATTTAAAGCTAAAATATGTACTGATTACTATGTGCCCATCACTACACATGGTCAACAACAAAGACATGGACTCTGCCCTCATGGAGTTTGGAAACTAGTGGGAGAAGCAGACAGATACCAAATAATCACAAAGAATTTAATTACAAACTGTAATAATATTACAAAGGAAAATGATGCAAGCTATGGAAGCAAGAATCCTCATCTAGTTTGGATACAGAGTGGTCAGGATAAGCTTCCCTGAGGTAGGGCTGTGTGATTTGAGCTCTGAAGATGAGTGGGAGCTAAGCTAGTCAAGACGGGAAGGGCAATCCAACCACTGCTGCTGTTCCTGCCTCAGGCCGCTGCCCCAGATGATACAGCTTGACACCAACAACTTCTAGTCTCTAGATGCTAATGTCTACTACTTAGGGGTTTCTGCTTTCCTCTACTTGTCTCTTCTGTTTCCTTTGGTCCTCTCACACATCTTGCTATTTTTCAGGGAAGATTAGTCCTTTGTGGCTATGACCTAATAGCACATATTTTCTAGGGCCCCAAGCCCCATGAAACTTAGATGCCACCCTTCCTGACTTCAAAATATGCTATAAAGCTATAGTAATCCAAACAGCATGGTATTGTCATAAAAACAAACAAATTGACCAATATAACAGAAGAGACAGTCCCAAAATAAAACCACGCATTTACAGATAACTGATTTTCAACAAAGGTGACAAAAATATACAGTGGGGAAAGAATAGTCTCTTCAACAAATGGTGCTGAGAAAACTGGATATCTACATGCGGAAGACTGAAACTAGACCCCTATCTCTCACCACACACAAAAATCAACTCAAAATGGATCAAACACCTTAATTTAAGACCCCAAACTATGAAACTACTAGAGGAAAACATAGGGGAAATGCTACATAAAATGGGAGTGGGCAGTACTTTTTTGAGAGAGACTACAAAGGCATAGGCAACTAAAGCAAAAATATACATATGGGACTAAATCAAACTTTAAAGCTTCTGCACAGCAAGGGCCACTATCAACAAAGTGAAGAGACAACTTACAGAATGGGAGAAAGTGTTTGCAAACTACACATCAGACAAGGGGCTAATATCCAGAATATATAAGGAACTTAACAGCAAAAAAAAAAATAACCCAATTAAAAAACAGGCAAATGACCAGTACAGACATTTCTTAAAAGAAGACATACAAATGGCCAACAGGCACATGAAAAAGTGCTCGATGTCACTAATTATCAGGAAAATGTAAATTAAAACCACAATGAGATATCATCTCAGTCCAGTAAGAATGGCTATTACCAACAAGACAAAAAAATAACAAATGCTGGAGAGGATGAGTAAAAAAAGGAACTCTCCTACATTGCTAGTGGGAGTGTAAACTGGTAGAACAACTGTGGAAAACAGTATGCAGGTTCCTCACATAACTGAAAATAGATCTAACCCTATGACCTAGCTATCCCACTACTGGGTATATGCACAAAAGAAATGAAATCAATATATCAAAAAGACACGTGCCAATCCATTACCGGAGCATTACACATGCTCCCATGTTCATCACAGCACGACTCACAACAGCCAAGGGATGGAATCAACCTAACTATACATCAACAGATAAATGGATAAAAAAACTGGTATATAAATGCAATGGAATACTACTCACCCATAAAAAATGATATCCTATCATTTGCAACATGGATGGAACTAGAAAACATCATATTAAGTGAAGTAAAGTCAGACACGAAAAGACATATAGCGCCTGATATCACTCATATGTGCAAGGCCAGGAGGGTGGGAGGAGAAGTGGTGGACTAATGGGTAAAATTATGTTATCTATCTTAAGTGAATCACTGTGCAACACATGCATGTACTGAAACAACACACTGTACCCCACAAATATGTACCAGTAAATGTTAAAATGTTTTGAATAAAAAAATAGAGAGAGAGAGAGAGAGAAAGAGACTTAGATGCCACTGAGATTTCCAGTACTTACTCTCCTCACACACCTGGAACTTTCCCACTTTATTCTATACTTCTTGTAATGCCACTCTTGGCTCATTTGCAGCATTTACAGTCTAATCAGCTGTAATAAGCATCAGTCAAAAAATGGTCATCGTATGAATATTTATATCATGCTAATTAAAAAGAAAATTTCTTCTGTTTTTTTGATTAATGAGTAGGCAAATAGGACACATATGTCAGCAGGATGCCCTCATGGATGGTACCAATATCTTCCAAAACAATGAGCTCTGGCTTTTAAAAATTTCATTAATTTATATGCAGTCTCCACACTGACAACAGAAGCACTGCTCTAGACTTTAAATAGAGCTTATTTCTCACATGTCTCTATACCTAGTTTGGAAAAGTCCATGAGGTCTCAGAAATTTTGAATGCTCAATTGTCAAACAATGTGGGCACGAGGTTCAATATGGCAAGAGATCCTTGGTCAATACAGTAATGCCTCCAAGCACTAAATATGCCAATCAGTTTCTCATGCCAACTGCCCCAGCTCAGGAAGCAGCCCTATGCAGCCAAGTCTCTTACTGTGAGACCCCATGTTCCTGGTCATAACTGATTAAATAAAGCAAGTGTGAGTACATGAGGGCACTTGATTGCTAGGGACCTCTGATGAAAAAAGTGAACAAGGTTAATCAGCTTCTCTCTCTCTCAGGTTTCTGAACTGGGAAACAATGAAATAATCAGGCTGTTAGCAGTGGGAGCTGAAGCTGAAAGAAGCCAAGATGAATGAGAGAGCTAAGCAAGATAAGTGGATGGGAAGAGCACTCCAACCACTGCTGGTTCACAGGAAGTCTAAAGAGTGAGGAAGTAGAATCCCTGAGGCAGAGAAAATATATACAGATTAGAAGGAAAGAATATGCTATCTGATAGTAGGAGGGAGTGGGGTAGTTATGCAGAGAGGGGCTAACATACAATATGAGACAGAGGTGTGTGTGAAGAGAGAGGGAAGAAACAGGTGGATAGAGACAGCAGAAAAAAGAAAGAGAAACAAGAGAGATCAAAACACACAGGAAGAGACACAAGGCCCCTGAGAAACAGAAAAACTAGCCAGTCCCCAATGCGGCTGGGGCTGGTTCCTTTTATTTCCAGTCATTTTGTGCCAAAATATACTGGGAAAGAGCAGAATGCTGTGGCACTGATTAAAATGTTAAGAAACTCAGAAAAACCTTGAGAAATGAGAATGCTTAATTTCATTTCTGATTGGTTTTTATTAATGTTCCTTATGCAAAGATGAAAAATACATCAATCATATTAACACAGAAATAGTCATAAGCCTAAGGTTTTAAAATCACCTCTACATTATTTTACTATGCTAAGCAGATTAATTTGCTAGATAAAGATGGTTCAAATTTTTATCAAAGCAAATACAATATTTTAAAAATCAAACAGTCTAAAAGGTTTTATAATGACATGCAACAATCCCTTGTCCCATCCCTCCACAACCCCTGGCTCACTCCCTAGAGGCAAACCACTTGTAATTCTCTTAGCTATTTCTTCTGATATTTATTTACATATTTCTAAAGAATATGCTTATCAGCTACTTTATTTATCAATGAAACATTATCTATTGATTTTGTGATAAGATAGATGAGGCTAAATTCACATATACCACCTCTTTGCTGCTCCTATGCTATCCGCCCAATATTACCATTTTTAGATCCTCTTCAACTTTGCAACTTAAAATATCTTTAAACTTCTATTTTTTGTTCAACTATAGACCATACCATTCAACCTCTTTCTCTCTAAGATGAGGATATTAAGGGTGTCTTTCCTGCCTATCAGCTCTTTTCTCCTCTGTCTTCCAATTTCTACAGGTGACTAATTTTTAATATCCTTTTTCATCAATAATAATAACCACCCCCAATCTTGCACTTAAAACTGTGCCTGGCACATGATCAGCACTTTACATATTCCAGCTCATTTAATCCATAAAACCATATGCAGCAGGTACTATCTCCATTTTACAGAAGAGAAAGTTAAGGCCCAGGGAGGTCAATTAATTTGCCCAAGGTCCCCAAGATAATTAATACAGAGAAGGATTCCAACCCAGGCAGTTCACCTCTGGGGTCTGCGACCTTCACTATTACAATCATCTGCCCCTCATTTTTTTAAGCACCTCCAAATTTCCCATCACCATGGTAATACTCTAAGATAGTTTACATTACTACTTCACAAGAGCCATTCAAAATATTCCCATTGCCATTGTCTCACTGAATGTAGCAGCCTGTTGGAAAGAGAATATGTGAAGTTCTGATTTTTAGTTCTGACATCTTGCTAATACAGCAAGTAAGCATTAAGATAGTTATAACTCCACAATTAGCTTCAGAATAACCAACTGAAGGAATCCCTCGGCTCAAAGCTTCATATTCCCTATGCTTCTACCTAACATATTTCCTGCTACTCTCATTCTATTTAATTACCCCAAATTTTCATTACTCTCAGACAGCAATCCAAAGACGACCTTGCATTCCATCTGGACCATAAAACATTTTTCTAATGATGCATCATTTATTAATCATCAGTTCCTCAGCAGTTAGTTATTCTAAACCTCATATAATAATTATAATTCATCACCAGGCTTTAAAAAAAGACTAGAAATTCAACAGAATAATTTACAGCAGAATATTTTCAAGAAAATTCTTACCATGTTGAATTGTTGCTGTAGTTTTTCATTTGCATAATTTATGCAAAACTGTTCAAAACTATTTATCTCAAATGTTTCAAATCTATAAAAAATAATATGAAAAGGGGAGAAAAGGAATAGCTTTTTAAAAAATATTCGAAAGGTAAACATTAGGAAGAAAGAAATGGGAAATTCTCCAACATGGTGAAACTTTCTTTCCATGTCAGTGAAGTTAAAGGTTTGTAAGTCAGTAACATGGAATATGTACCTAGCAAATGAGCATCAGCCAAGGAGCAGAGATTTTTTTTTAAGGCCCCCAGCATGCAGAGGTATTCAACACTATGAGTTTTTGAGGTCTCATTAATTCACAAATGAGGAACAAAAGAATTATGATAAAGCCATTGCTCTTGTCAATTTACAGACTCACAGTGTTACACATACTTAGAAGGGTAATAGAAATAGAGTTCCCATAGGTTCTTTTAAAAAATGAACGAGAGAACGAAAAATTAGTTATCAAACCAAGGTTTTAAACAGTTAAAGAAGGGTATCCAGAGAAGGTAAACAGCAAGTGAAATTAGAATTTTAGAAATTCAGTGATAATTTACCACATGAGAGTCTGAAAATCAATTAATTCCATCTACTAGCTTGGTAAATTAGCTCCAGATTTTTTGTTTGTTTGTTTGTTTTGTTTTAGTGAAATTTTAAGCAACATGCAACTACATCACTATCATCAAGGTACTTTTGAACTGTCAAAGGCAGGATGTCCATTCTCCTTACCAGTAGGAGACAGAATCAACTATCCACTTACAGTTACTAGGTAATCTCTAGAAAGAAAAGCTCTCCAGTAGACCAGTAAGCCAAATATACTTACCCATAAATGTCCAGTACACCAATAAAAGAGTGCTGTTTGACAGCAGAATGGAGAGCCTGATTAACATGATCTACAATCCAGTTGAAGAGCTTGGCATAGATGTGCTTGGCCAAAGCATCACGGGCATTAGTGGCCTGTAACTTGGAGATGGGCTTGATGTATGTCTCTGTGGCAGTAGCCAGCTTCCGATGGCAGAGCCAGTGACACATCTCCTCATAGTCCACACCCATGAGGTCACAGAAGATGCTGAGAGGTTCATGCTTGGGCTGCCAAAAGAGAATGGGTTATTTCCTATGATCAGATCAATCAAGTAAGAATTTCCTGAAAAATGTTAAAAAAGAAAACAAACAAAACTCAGCAATTTCTTTGTTATAATGAACACCAAGATCACTAAAAGTTGATCAGAGATAATAATCATGATCATCCATTAAATTAGCATCTAGGCAGCATTTTGCAGTCTATTTTAGGGCTCATTTCAAAATTACCTTTTCCTTTGTAACTCTATTGTATTTATATCTCTCTTAAGGCACATCCACATTCAATCAGAAAATCAGTCAACAAATACAAGTGTACTTCAAAAAGTTCATGGAAAGATTTATATTATCTTTTAATTCTATTATTCAATCAGAAAATCAGTCAACAAATACAAGTGTACTTCAAAAAGTTCATGGAAAGATTTATATTATCTTTTAATTCTATTTTTCCATGAACTTTTTAAAGTATCCTTGTATTTACTGAGTAACTATTATGTGCCAGTAAATAAAAATGGACATGGTCCCTGACCTCCTAGAGCTTACAGTCACTAGAGGAAATGAATCTTAAACAAATGATTGCTCCCTAAAACGTAAAATACTACAAAGAAAAAGGACACTATGCTAAGAGTCCATATGAGAGGACTTTGCTTTATCCAGGGAGGCAGGAGACAGTTGTCTTCAGAAATGGAATTGAGGGCTGAGGGCTGAGCCCGTGGCGCACTCGGGAGAGTTCAGCGCTGGGAGCGCAGCAGCACTCCCGCCGCGGGTTCGGATCCTATATAGGGATGACCGGTGCGCTCACAGCGCTCACTGGCTGAGCGCAGTGTGGCCGGTCTCAAAAAGGACAAAAAAAAAAAAAAAAAAAAGAAATGGAATTGAGATCTGAAGAAATGGAAGGTGCTGACTGGGTGAGAAAGGGTTTTCCAAGTTGAGGGAATAGTTGGTTAAAAGATTCTACTGTGGGAGAGAAACCATCAACAGGAGGGATTGAAGCTGAGTGAAGGGGAAAATGTATGAGAGGTCTTCAAAAAGTTCATGGTAAGGGCCGGCCTTGTGGCTCACTCGGGAGAGTGCGGAGCTGGCAGCGCCACGGCCGCGGGTTTGGATCCTATATAGGGATGGCCGGTGCGCTCACTGGCTGAGCATGGTCCAGACGACACCGAGCTGTGGGTTGTGATCCCCTTACCGGTCAAAAAAAAAAAAAAAGTTCATGGAAAATAAGTATTCTGAAAAAAACTATGCATGGACTGCAAAATTTTTTTGCACCAATGAAAACGTGTACTAACTTGGTATAATATGCCCAAATAGGATTTAGTTGGAAACACTAAGAAGGATAAAACATCAATTTGAAAACAGCCTGTATCTGAGCAACAGGAATTCTGCTAAAAATCAAAGCAAGAACAAATATTAAATTTATGGTGAAGGTTGAGCAAAGAATGGTGAAATCACTGATGATTTACAAGAAGTTTATGTAACAACACCCCACCCCCCAATTAACAGTTTACAAATGGATAATTTGTTTTAAGAAAGGGCATTACAACGTTGAAGATAAAGCCTGTGGCAGCTGACCATCCACATCAATTTGCAGGGAAACAAGTTAATCTTGTTTGTGCCCAAACTGAGGAAACTGAGGAAGACTGACAATTAACATTAGAAACAATAGCCAACACCATAGACATTTCAACTGGTTCAGCTTACACAATTCTGAGTGAAAAATTAGTTGGGCAAACTTTCCACTACATGGATGCTAAAATAGTTGTACCCGGATCAGCTGCAGAGGACAGCAGAGCTTTCAATGTAAATTTTAAAAAACCAGGATCAAGATCTTGAAGCATTTCTTTGAAGAACCGTAACAGAAGATGACACATGGGTTTACCAGTATAACCCTGAAGACAAAGCACAATCAAAGCACTGGCTACCAAGAGGTGGAAGTGGTCCAATCAAAGCAAAAGTTGACCAGTCAAGAGCAAAGGTCGTGGCAACAGTATTTTGGGATGCTCAAGGCATTTTGCTCATTGACTTTTTGGAGGGCCAATGAATGGTAACATCTACTCATTATGAGACTATTTTGAGAAAGTCAGCCAAAGCTTTAGCAGAAAAATGCCCAGGAAATGTTCACCAGACATTTCTCCACCATGATAATGTTCCTGGTCATTCTTCTCATCAAACAAGCACAATTTGGCAAGAGATTTGATGGGAAATCATTAGGCATCCACTTTATAGTCCTGATTTGGCTCCTTCTGACTTATTTTTGCTTCCTAATCTTAAAAAATATTTAAAGGGCACTCATTTCCCTCAGTTATGATTGTAAAAAAGACTGTACTGAAATGGTTAAATTCTTAGGACCCTCGGTTATTTGGGGATGGACTAAATCACTGGTATCATCACTTACAAAAGTGTCTTGAACTTGATGGAGCTTATGTTGAAAAATAAAGTTTATATTTTTTATTTTTATCTTTTAATTCTATTTCTGTACTTTTTGAAGTTACCTATTAGATGAATCCATAGAGATAGGCAAAGGGTACACCATGACTGGCCTTTATCCTGAGAGCAGTAAGAGGCCACTGAACAGTTTTAAGCAGATAACTTGATAGTTATTTGTATGACTTCTTTAATTAGAAACTCTAATGATTTTCATGCCCTTGTATCTCTTAGAATGTCTTCCATGGGCCTTGCATGAATATCTGTTCCATACTCATTTAATGCAATCCATGTTACTGCATTATGTTTTTCAACATCTTCACTCACATGTATCAATTGAATCTGGTAACATTCTTGGGGGATAGGCAAGGTGAACATTGTTGTCTCTAATTGACAAATGAGGAAATAAGATCCAATTGAACAAATAGCTTATCAAAAGTCACATGCCCATTTTATGTCAGAGTTGGCATTAGAACCTGGGTACCCTACCACCCTCATACCTCATATTCCTTCTTACTCAGCTCTTCCTTCCTTCATCCCCCCTCCTCCCAAGAAACCACTTCAGATAGAAATTAGCACCATCACTAACAATCTAGCTCAACTATCTTAAAGAACTTCTATATATATAACTCCAATCTAGCTCAACTATCTTAAAGAACTTCTATATATATAACTCCTATATATATATATATATATATATATATATATATATATATAAAGCTATATATCAGCACTCTGCAAACATATTCTATTTGAATGTTGTTACTATGTTGTTCTTTTAGATCAAGGGTGTTAACTGTTTGGTTCAAATTTTCCACAACTTTACTCACTTTCAGACTTCTTCACCTATCAATCACTGAGAGAAGTCAATAACCTCCCTACAATAGATCTGTCTATTTCTTCTTGAAATTTTTGTTGATTTTTGCTTTATACATTTTGAGGCTATGTCATTAAGTACATACAAGTTTAGGACTTCCTGATGAATAAAATTTTATTATTACAAAGTGACTCTTTTTTCTCTAGTACTGTTTTTGGCCTCAAAGTCTATTTTGTCCAATATCAACATAGCTCTGCCACTTTTATTCTAGCTAGTACAGTATGTCTTTTCTAAACCTTTTATTTTCAAACTTTATATTACCTCTACCTTTTAGAAATACTTCTTTCAAAAGCTTAGATCTAAATTTTTTAATCAGTCAAATAACCCATGTATTTTTACTGGAGCATTTAGCCCATTTTTAATTATTTATTTCTATCTTATTTTGCGCTTTTATTTGTTCCACCTTTCCTAAGTTTTTCCCCTCCCCCTTTCTTGCTATATTTGGATTTTTTTTTCAGCCCATTTTCCTCTCTACTAGCTTTAAAGGCTTACTTTCTGTTTCTAGTTTTTATAATAGGAGTATTAATCAGCATAATTAACTTAATATACATATATAACACTAACTCCAATCACTCTAATCTATGTGCTTTGCTACCAAATATTTCAGTTCTACTTTTTTTGGAGGGGGGATAGGGGGACTGATGATTCACTTTTTTAAACTTTTTATTTTGAACTAATTTTAGACTAATGAAAAAGCTGCAAGAATAATGCAAAGAATTCCCTTCACCCAGATTCCCTAAATACTAATTTTACCACATTTGCTTTTATCATTTTCTTTCTGTCTTACTTTTTTACATACATATACATACACATTATTTTTTCAGAAACTTGTGTGAGTAAATTGCAAACACAATGCTCTGGTTGCCCTAAGTATCCCAATGCACATTTTCTGAAAACCAAGGATATTATCTTACATAATTACAATGTAATGAACAAAATTTAAAAATTAGCAATGATAAAACCCTACTATCAAACCTGCAGATCTAATTCAATTTTTTGCCGACTGACCTAATAATGACCTCTATGAAAAAAAGAAGAAAATTTAATGGTTCAGGATCCAATCTGGATATGAATTTAGTTACCATGTCTCATTAATCTCTTCTAATCTGAACAGTTCTTTACTCTTTTTTGTCTTTCGTGACCCTTACATTTTTGAAGAGTCCCTCAATTTCAGTTTGTATGATGTTGCTTACCAGAGAAGTGATGTTGCAGTCTCCTCAGTGTGTCATATTAAAAATTATGTGATATTGACTGGCCCCATTGCTGGTAATGTTGATTGTGATCTCTTGGTTAAGGAAATGTCTACCAGAATTCTCCACTCTAAAAATAACTATCTTTCCCTTTATAATTAATAAGTATCTTGTCAGGAGTTCTATCTTTTTCCAGTCCAATACACTATTCATTATTATTGTTTTAATTAATTAAATTTGATCTACATTTGCCCATATTTTACTAGCTTCTTAGTTCACCATTTCTTCTTGCATCTTAGATCTTCTATCTGGAATCATTTTCCTTCTACCTAAACTATATCCTTTAATGTTTCCTTTAGTGAAAGCTTAGTGGTGGGGCCGGCCTGTGGCTCACTCGGGAGAGTGCGGTGCTGATAACACCAAGGCCCCGGGTTCGGATCCCATATAGGGATGGCCGGTTCGCTCACTGGCTGAGCGTGGTGCTGACAACACCAAGTCAAGGGTTAAGATCCCCTTACCGGTCATCTTTTGAAAAAAAAAAAGAAAAAAAGAAAGCTTAGTGGTGACAAATTTTCCCAAGATAGTTTAACTGAACATACAATTCTAAGTTAATAGTTTTCACTCTAAGCACACTGAGGATATTATTCCACTGTTTTCTGGTTCTTATTGTTGTAGTTGGGAAGTGAGTGAGCAGATTAACTGCTATTTCTTCAAGGGCAATTTGTCTTATTTCTCTGTTTTAAGATTTTCTCTCTTTCTCTGGTATCATTATGATGTACTCAGGGGTAGATTTCTTTTTGTTTATCCTGACTGGGATTTTTTTGACTCAGAGTCTGTGGTTTAATGTTATTTTCACAAGTTCTCAATTTCTTAGTAATTATTTCTTTGAATATTCTATCTGTCTCATTCTTTTTCTTCTCTAGGAATTCTCATTAGATTGAAATTAGACTTTATTACTCTATCCTTTTCCCCTCTTAACTATTGTTTCAAGTGCTCCATCTCTGATCCCTGTCTTGCATTTTGGGTAATTTCTTCACATCCACCTTCTAGCTTATCAGTTTTCTCTTTAGTTGGGTCAAGTCTGCTGTTAATTTCTTTGACATTCTTAGTAGGCTTGACTCTATTTATTGTTTTTCCTAGATCCTTCTAGTTTGTTTCATCATGGGACTTGTGATTTTTGACTGTGAGCCAATATTTCTTGTAACTTTTCCCACAGGACCTCTTGAGACCTAGATTGAAGGTGGATCCTCTAAAGTAGATTTGCATTTGCTTCTGTTGGGCACCTTGGGTACTACCAGCCCAGTATCAATTTAAGTCAAGTTTTCTGTACATGGCTTTTTGGGACCATCCAGAAATTATAAAATCAGGCTAGGAATATGTGTGAGGGTCAGTTTATTGTCATAAACTTTCAGGGAACTATTTTTCCTCCTCCACTTAGCACCAAGTTGTCAGTCAGACTATCATTTCTTTATACTCTTGGAGTGGGTAGTGGGCAAGTTTACTACTAGTTCCCCGTTTAGGGTGTCAGCTTTAGGCAGGGGTTCTCCTTTTTGATTCCCTGTTTACATGAGTTCTGGGCTTTATTTTTGTCTTCTGCACCTCACCTTGGCTATGAAAACCGAAGTTCAAGGTCATTGGGTTCAGCAAATGCCCCAAGGTGGGGCAGAACTATCAAAAAGAGATGTTGTTTTACCAATAACCTTTAAAGCTCATTTAGTTTCCACCTACCCCAAATACTGAAACTGTAGTTATCATCAAATCAACAAAACTGACAAGTGCTGGTTAAAAAAAGGTCACAAAATTTCAATAGGAACTAGATGGAAGTAACTTCTAGACAAGTTCCATGGACTATAAGCACTCTTCCTCCAAGATAATCATTCTAGACATCTCAAATAGGAAAACAGTACACTGAAATTTTAGGAAAGACTTTCAGTGAAGTGATACATTAATATTTAACATTAATGATGACTTTCCCGATTAGGAGAATCCTGACATTTGGAGAAAGGTCACATTGGCAGAGACAGAAATGCAAAAATCAATGAGTTCATTTAAAAGAGAGCCAGTCTGTACACTAATGTTCAGAGTAGTATTATTCATAATAGCCAAAAGTTGAAACAACCCAAATGTCCATCAACCAATCAATGGATAAACAAAATGTGGTATCTCCATACAATAGACTATTATCCAGCCAAAAAAAAGAATGAAATACTGATACATGCTATAACATGGATGGATTTTGAAAGAAGTTAGTCACGAAAGACCTCATATTATACGACTCAATTTATATGAAATGTCCAGAATAGGCAAATCCATAGAGGCAGAAAATAGATTCACTTGCTTAGGGCTGGGGAAATAGGGGTGTAAGGGAGTAGCAGGCAAAGGGTACAGGGTTTCCTTTTGAGGTAATAAAAATATTTTACACTGACTGTGGTGCTGGTTGCACCTATCTATAAATATACTAAAAATAATTTAACTGTATACTCTAAATGTATGGGTATTGTAAAAGAAAATATAACTTTAACATACAAAATTTGCTTTTGTAAAAATGCTAAAAATGGGAAAACATAACTAATGACATTTTAAGTAAAGCAGCTTCTAAGGGGCTATTGAGAGGTCAGGCGGCACCAGGCACACTAAATTCCAGGAAGGGAATGACCACCTCCTGGTTCCAGGAACTGACCGGTTCCTTATCTAGAGGCCACCTGGCCAGACCCCAGGGAAGATAAACGATTGAGAAATGTGCTGTTCCTTATCGGGGTACCAGCTCACTAAAGCCTACCCATAAATCTAAAGGTGCCTCAAATATCCAACAACTCATCCTGTCACAAAAGTCTGTCTAAAAAAAAACTGTCTAAAAAGTGCTTGTGTTAAGAGCTCAGGGCCGCTTCTGTCCTGAAGACAAAGTAACCCCAGCATGCTGGAATAAACTCCTCTTGCTTAATTACAATGGTCTCTATCTCATGGTCTTTGTGAAGTGAGCCATTCCGACGTGTGGGATTTGTGCATGGTGCACAGATCTTACAGTATGGTATACTTTAATCGGTATGGTGTACTTTAAATGGGTATGGTGAACTATATCTCAACAAAGCTGGTTTTTTAAAAAAAGCCTAGTAATGTTTCCTTAGAAGAAATTAGTGTTTAAATCAGAATTATTGTTTTGCTTTTAAAAAACTGACATTAGGAGAAGAGGCTGGGGGCAGAAATCATGCATCTAAAATTAGGATCCATGGCATAGGAAAATACACATCAAATATCCATAAAAGAAATCATGAAGATCGAGCTTTCTGTAAATCAGATTCCCTGCCCATCTTAGTTCTTGGTCCTTTGACTAATAAATCATTCATAATACAGGGTTTCTCTTCAAATCATAAAGTCATTTATTTTATATCTCACACATCCAATGTAGCACAAAACTACTACATCCAGAAAAGGCAGAAAATAGATTCTTTTCTCACAGGAGTAGGAAATCTGTTTTTACACGAGGGGCTATATAGATCCAGAGAAAAAAGGCAATCAAGAATGAGTTGAATAAAAAAACATCTAAATTAAGGCCTTAAGAATGTTAAAATAATATGGTTCCATCCACAATGACCTCAAATCTCAGTGGATAAAGACAAGCAAGAGAGACCTTTACAGAATTGTGTAATTTGAGCTACAATAAAGGAAATCAGAAGGGGTAGGATGCATATTAGAAGAGATACTATCAGATCTGCATGTTAGAAGTGAATAAGAGCTGACCAGAGAAGAAAAGCAATGGTAGTAGATTGAATTATGTACCCCCCAAACTCCCTGAAGCTTGAATTGTGTCCCCCAACTTTTACGTATTAGAAACTTAGCCCCCACTGGGACTGTTAAGAGCATGGGAAATCCTATTATGGTAATCGAAAGGTGGAGCATTGAAGAGGTGATTAGATTGTAGGACCATGCTGTATTGAATGTATTAAAAATGGTGGTTAGGGGCGTGGTTCTGAGGGCTTAAAAAGAAAGTGAATGAGAAGCTCTCTCTCTCTGCTCTCTTTGCTTCCACCATTTTGCAATGTGAGACCCCTGAGTCACTGTTGCCACCACCAGATGGACTTTGGACTTCCCAGCCTCAGAAATTGTAAGTGATAAATTTCATTTTCTTTATAAATTACCCAGTTCCATGTATTTTGTTATAAGCAACAAAAATGGACTAATACAGAAATCAACCTGTCCCAGCAGAGAGAATCTGAGCAAAGGCAGGAGAGCGGCAGCTTGGCATGTTAATGGCTGGAATACGGAGTGTGAGAAATGGTGAGAGATAGGCTGAATAGGAAGTCCATGGTAGATCATGAAGGGCCTTCCATGTCATGCCAAGTAAGGTATTTGACCTGTTCCTGAAGGCAGTCGGGAGTCTTGAAGGATTTAAGTAGGGGGATGACATTATCCCTCATAGATCCCTCATCTCTCTTGAGAGAGATGGTATATATATACATATGTGGGGAGGAGAGAGAGAATTTATACATTTTACTAGATGATAGATATGCATATACTGTACCATATACAATAAGATTAAAAGGGATAAGTCAATTTCTTATGCCCCTACTGCCCACCATCTAGTTACTCTTCCCAGGAGGAACCACTGTTAATGGTTTCTTCAATAATATTTAAACCATATTACATTCCCACAGCTGAAGACATAAAGTTACCAATTCTTGGTACTTATGTCATGGGCCAAATGAGCCTCTCTAGGCTCACTGATCCAACTTTTATATCTAATATTTCCTACCTCTGTTATAGAGATCAGATATGTATCAAGTTCTCTCTCTCTCATTCTCTCTCTCTCTCTCTCTCTCACACACACACATGCGCGCACACACACACACACACACACACACATATACACTGTGTAACAGGGAACAGAATCCATTTTTCTCTATTTTCAGCTCAAGATTTTCCTTTGGATAATGTATCTCTTTGATAATTATCTGACAATGTTAATAGAGAGATTTCAAATATATTGCTTCTATAAAGAATCAACAAAACAAAAATGCAATTCAACTGCCATCACACTAAGCTTATTCTGAACTTACAGGTATTGTGCAGCTATCTGAATCTCGAGATGTAAATCCAACATTGCCTAAGTGAAGGATGCCAGCAAGTATTCGGAAAATTCCCATTTGATAAGATTCACTAATTCCTGAAACAACAGAGTAAATGAACAAGTGATTAATTTCAGAACATCAACTAAACAATTATAGCAGATCATTTTAGGCCTATTGTAAATTCATGAATACTGCCAGAGGTTGTGTCATAGATAATAACACTTTCATCTTCATTGACATTAACAGATTAGGTAGTTTAGCATCATGGGGGCTACATGGCTATGGAGTGTGACTGGTGTGCCTCTGCTACCGATCTACTAGCTCACATGGGCAGGTAAACTCACCCTTCCTTCTATGCTTCCATTTTCTCATTTGAGATATGGGGATAATAGCGACTACCTCAAAGGGTGTTTGTGAAGATTAAGAGAGAGAACACACCTAGCATACTTAACACATTATGTGACACATGGTAAGTGATAAACAAATGATTGTCATCATTGTCACACTGGACTTAGTATTTTATTAACATTATTACAATTTCTATTTATCTCTAATCCAAATGCAAGTGGTAGCCCAATAAGGCTGTTTTAAGTCAGATTATTTAATTACTTCTTCTAATTACAGAGCAAATACAAGTCAAAGAGAACCCAAGATAGAAGTGTTTAGGCTGGTATTGTACCTCAGCCTGATGAGTAACTGTCCAAATGTAGCATTAGAGCAGGACCTAAAGGGTAAGGCAGGAAGAGAAAGCTGGACAGCCTCTGGCTTTTATCAGATTTGGCTTCATTTTTCAGTAAGGTAAGAATTATCAAAATATTAGATATAATTATACGCAAGTAGAAGTAGTAAAATTATTTTAAAATATGTAAACTTACACCGAGTAATTGAGAGTTGACTTTATAATGAATATTTTTGCCATCTCTTGCATCATGTTTTTTTCAAATTCACAATTTTCTATTTACAAACAGATTTGTCCTAGAAGTGTTTTCTAGTGTTTTTCAAACTTTAATACACACGTGAACTACCAATGAATCCTGTTGAAATGCAGATTCTGATTCAGCAGGTCTGAGAAGAGGTCTGAGATTCTGCATTTCTAGCAGGTTCCACAGTGGTCCTGGACCACACTATGATTAGCAATGCTTTCAAATTAATTTACCTGAGGGTACTCCTCAAAATACCAACATATAATTTTAGAGTTATTTATATACTGACATTTTTAAAAAACAAAATTCATCTCTAAAAGTTGTAGACTACAGTTCTAAAGATTAATTTATTCACATGTCCACTGAACATTTTTTAAACCCTGGAAACAAGATAGTGACATATGAACTATTTAAAAAATGTTAGAATAAGGGCCAGCCCGTGGCTCACTTGGGAGAGTGTGGTGCTGATAACACCAAGGCCAAGGGTTTGGATCCCTATATAGGGATGGCCAGATTGCTCACTTAGGACAGCGTGGTTCTGACAACACCAAGTTAAGGGTTAAGATCCCCTTACAGGTCAACTTAAAAAAAAAAATGTTAGAATAAACTACATATAATACAATGTTCTGTCACCATGCCAGCTCAGCATATTTCCCAGAAACAAAAATACCCTGAAAACAAACAGACAAATGAAAACCCCCACAAAATGTAAGCTTGTACAGGAAACCATTTCATTTAGCTTTAGGTTTCTGATTTTAGTAAAAATTTAAGCAAAGAATTATAGTTAGTCCTACCTCCCCTAATGCCCCAAATGTGTTTTTTTTAACAGCTTTATTGAGGAATAGTTTGCATACCATAAAATTCACCCATTTTAAATGTGCAATTCAATTATTTTAAGTAAATTTACAAAGTTGTGCAACCATTACTGCAATCTGATTTTAGAACAGTTCCCACACCCCAAAAAGAAACCTCATGCCCATTTGCTGTATAAATGTCTTCTATAAGGAATGTTAAATCTCCCAGCAATACTCACCACTTAACACAAAGCCAAGCCAATATTCCAAAGGTTCATTGAGTCTAAAAGCTATTACTCATAAGAGCTCAAGAATAAAATGACATTACCTAGCAAAGTGCAGGCCTGCCTGGTATGTGCCATCTCCTTTGCATCATCCACTCCTTCAATCACAGGACTGCCACCTTGCTTCGTGTAATGAAAGTTACCTGCATTTCCTGAAATGAAAAAAAAAAAAAAGTTTTTCAGTCTATGAAAAAGTCTTGCTTCCACTTTTATGTCCACTCTGAATAAAAGAGAGTGATAGCACAGCTAGGTGTACAGGATCTGGAGTTTACACGTGTTTTCAATTTTATTTTAATATAAAACTCAAAATTAAATAATGGAGTGTGACTTCCAGTCAAGATGGCAGAATAGACAGTTCCCAGCGTCAACTCTCTCCCACAAATCAATCAATTTACAACTATAAAAATGTAGCATCAGCCAAGCTGGGGCTGCTGGAGCTCAGGGGAAGAGGAGGAGAGACCTACTGAGTTCATGAAGGCAGGAGAAACCATGATAAGAGAAAGAAAAAACTGCTCTAAGCATCTTGGGCTGTTGCTGCTTTAAGGCTTGAGCTGCTGAGCGCATGGAGCAGGAGCCGGCAGAAGCTGCAGCTGTGTCCTTCAGATGGAGTTACTTGGAGGCAGCAGGGGAGAAGAGGGCCTTGGTGGCCCCCAGGACAGCAAGACCACTAATAGGGTTCCCGTGGACCCACATAGGAGTAAGGAGCCAGAACAGCTGAAAAAAGGGAACCATTCAGAGGTCTGTGAGTCATCACAAGGGACCGGCGCAGGGCCTGCCCCATGGGAAGTGTTTTGAGCATGTGCAGTGGGGGAGACGTGCCCAGGGGAACACTAGGACACAGCAAGGACAGCTGACCTGTCCCCCAATCAGCACAGGATCACTCAGAGGAGACTGGTCAGGAATGCAGAATTGCATGGGGTGCAGTTTGATGAAAAAACTCAGGCCCAGATCAGAGTTTCTACACAACACAGATCCACCGGGTCTCTGGAGTGCCAGAAGTACCTATAAGGTCAACCATTAAACCCTGAGCTGCGCAAAGCCTTCCCTAGGGAAACAGCAGCAAAGCAGCAATTTAGCTAAACCACACAGCTCAAGTACTGGTTCCCACAGGAAGTTCCCCTGTGTTAGAAGTAAGCAAAGGACAAAAAACTAGTTCCGGCCTAGGCATACCACCAGCACCTTGGGGCCTGCCTGGGAACCAGAGGCTTGGAGCCGGGATTGGACCCCACTCCCACATCCTGGCAAACAATGCCAGTGCCTTGGGGCCTGCTCAGGGACCTGAGGCATGGAGAAGGGTACTAGATTCCCCTCCCACAACCAGGCACACTGTGCCAGTGCCTTGGGGCCTGCTTGGTGACCCGGGGCATGGAAAAGGGGACCGGACCCCACTCCCACAACCAGGCACACTAAGCCAATGCCTCAGGGCCCGCCTGGGGACCCAAGGCATGGAGAAGGGGACGTACCCCCCTCCCTCAACCAGACATACCACGCCAGCATCTCAGGGTCTGCCCGGTGACCCGAGGCAGGGAGAAAGGGACTGTAACCCCCCTCCCACAACCAGGCATACTGCACGAGAAACTTGGGGCCCACCTGGTGACCCGAGGCACGGAGAAGGGGACTGTACCCCCCTCCTGCATCCAGGTACACAGTGCCAGTGCCTCAGGGCCCATCTGGGGACCAGAGGCATAGAGAAGGGGACCAGACACACCCCACAACCAGGTACACTGCCAGCACCAAGGAGCATGCCAAAAACATCACCTCCATGTGGGTGGCCCACCACAGCCACCACAATGACTATAGCTGCTGCAAAAGCAGCTATACACCACAACCACTATGCAGATGGTCCATCAACCACTGGAGTGCATTCACACAAGGAGAGTCACCAGCAGAGATAAAGAAAAGAGGATGCCTGTCTCCACAAAGCCTATTTCAGAGTGACAGAAGAAGCATCTGTTCTACGATAATATTGGGGGACCTGATCACACCTCTCAGCATCGGACGGATCATCTAGGCAACAGTTTAACAGAGTAACCATTATTCTTTCAGAAGGAGAGAAGAAATCTAGGGTGATTAAGGAGGGGAGGGGAGAGATTGGACAAGGGGCATAAAGAATAATTATGATCTGTAACAATATATATGCTAGTAATATTGATTTGATCAACATATCTCAATGTTCAACCCCCAAAAAACGTATAATCGATTTTGATTCAATAAATAAAATAAATTTAAAAATAAATAAATAAATAAATAATGGAGTGAAATATTTATAGTTTATTTATCTTAACTGGTGAAATGAACAGTCCTTCCCTAAAGGTTTTATTCCAATCTACATGCTAGGATAATTTCCTCAAACACTTTACTACCCTCATCAGAAACCTCCAGGCCTCCATCTGATAAACTCCTTTCAATTTTTTTTCTTTTAATCAAGGCAAATTTCAAACATATCCAAAAGTAGAGAGGCTAGTATAATGAACCCCTATGTACTCATCACCCATCTTAAATAAGTATCACCTCAAGGCCAGTCTTGTTCCATTTACAGAGCCACTCACTCCTTCCCCACCCTATGGGTTGCTTTCAAGCCAACTGTAGACTTTTTATCATATTATCCATAAATATTTCAGTATGAGATAAGCTCCATTTTAACAAGTAAGTTTAGGAACTTGGAAATGAACGGAAAACAGTATCAGCACAATAAATATAACACCATATTCATACCTAATCGCAGCATTTTAAATTCGGGTAACTTTGCTGAGGCACAAAGCTGATAGAAGATATGATAGTTTCTCTCCTCTTCTGCCTTTGAAACAAGAAGAGTTTTCAATTGCAACATTTTAATCTAAAACTCAGAAAATTCTATCATAAAATAAAAATTTAATATTTAATTATATCATTTAGTGAAATAAATTGTCCTTTCCCAAATTTCCTAATTTTTTTAGTTAGTATTAAGCATTATGATTTATATAGTCTATGTGCATATGGATGAGTGTGCATGTGTTGGTCACATACAATATAAAATACCTAATAGTAATGCTTTTTGAACTAGTGAACAGCTTGATTTATGAGACTTAAGAGACCAGTGCTTTAGGGAGAAGCTAAAACCATTTCTTTGCAATATTCAATACTTTTTTTCTAATGGTATCTCTTAGATTCATGGTCTTCCTAGCACTTTGACTGGAAAAGAATAATCCCATCTTTGAAAATATTTTAGAGTGGACCATCTACTGTGGTTGTTTGTAAGAAATCCACAAATGCACTATATCATCTATACTGTTTTAGATTATATATTTTAAAACCAATAACTATTTTATAAAATATAAAATAAATTACTTACAACTATAAGGCCAAATTTCAGCACCTCCTGAAAGTCTTTTTCCATATATACATACCTCAAAAATACAGTTGCAATAATATTGTTCAAACAAAATTGAATCCTAATACTCTACCATCATATCCTTGAATTTTGCAGTGTATTTAGTTGATAAAGGTTAGTACTCCTAAGAACAAGGTCAGGTTTGATGCCCAAAGGAAGCTGATGTCTGGTAAAGAAAACTTTTAAGAACAAAAGACACTGAAAAACTTATAAATGTGCAAATGATCACAAGCATGATTAGGCAAGAGATCAGATGATTCGGTACTCAGAAACTAGAAAAGCAGATGGGTCTACAGAAATACTTGGTCATCTCTGTACAAAAAGGACAATATCAAGTCTTCTTTTTTTGACTGCATAATTCATTTTGACATACCAAACATACTCAATATCCTACAGCCCTGGGGACTGGGAAACGGCTAGAATTGCTTCAATGTCTCTAGACAGGACGATAAGGATTAGGCCTTACCATTTTGTATTAAGCACTAATAGCCATTGGCCAACATACTAACCAAGGACTGTTTTTCCTGTCCATTTCAACTTTACTTACTCACCTATCAATCAAATTTCTACTATTTTGACTCAATTCTCTCTTAAATCTACCTACATCTCACCCATTCTTTCTTCTGGCTACTAAATCTGATGCTTTTCACAAAAACCTATAGAAGTGTCTGTGTATATTAACACTGCTCTGTCTGTACCTAGATATTAGAACAATGGAGGAGAGTGACTATTACCTTACTATATAAATTAATTATTATATTTTGGGTGGCCACAAACCAGACACAACCCTAAAGTCAAAGCCAAGGTAGCTGCAGGCTGCCCAAACTCATGACTTTCTATATGTCCCAGACACTTTCAAAGTCACAGCAGACTTAGACAATGGAAATTGTGGACCCTGCTACATGGCAATGCTGGGGTATTTGAACCTCAATGGAGTGGGCATACAATTAAGGGGTAGATGCAACCCCTGATCTCACAGCATGAGGTATGAAGTGGGTTATCAGGAACCCTATACTGGGAGTTTTCCAATGATAAATCCACACTTCCTTAGTATGCCTGTAAATACGTAAATATACGCCTGCAAGTGTTGTAGATGTACAGAATTTCGCACTTTCAGATCAACAAGGACCAAGAGCATGTGTGAATGCAAACCCTAAACAGATGCATCAACTGAATTTGTTTTTTGATAGTTCAAAACTGGGTTGTGAAGATTTTTTTAACTCTCACTATTCGATCTAAACAATATCGTATTCTAAGAGAGGAGACGAAGGAAGAAAAGTAGACAAGGATAATTTTTTGTTGTTGTTTGAACTGAGTTCAAACTGTAAGTTACTGAAGGCATAGATCAATGCCCTCCCTATCAATTGGAAAATATGAGTAACAAGTCTAAACTAATAACACCTCTTCTTAACTAAGCATCCGTAAGGAAGAGTCAAAACCATTAAACCTACATCGGTGCCCAATCCCAAAGACTATTATTCTCAGAGGTATTCCCCTGCCTCTGACAGGTATCATTTTGCATGCTTCAACCCAATTATGGTTTGTAGCAATATTGTCATAACATGCTCAAGAGTATCTAAGAATAAAATGCATACCAGCAAGTATGGGCTCTGCAATTAAATGGCAATCTAACACAAGAATATATGTGTATGTGTCTGGCTTACCTGGAACACCACTCTGGATTTCTCTAAAAGGTAAGTTCTCATATTGGCACCAATGATTCGATATCTCTTATCAAAACCAATCTCAATATACTTCCCAAAACGGCTGCTATTATCATTCCTGGTTGTTTTAGCATTTCCAATTGACTAAGAAGCAAGGGAGAAAATAAGATTTTAGAAGTACAATTCACGGCATGACATTTACAGAGTTTGTTCAGGGAGGGAAAGGACTGAGTAGAACAAAACTCCTTAAAATGAATTATTTTAAGAACAGAACCAATTCTGTCCCTACAGGCACAGATATATGCTTTTCCCCCAGCACAACCACACAGATATATACTAATAGTTCTTATTTGTCTTGCTATTCTCACAAAAATGATTTTAAGAAACAGCAAAGGTGAGCCTAGCAGCTGGGAGATTTTCACACACCATTTGGGGTATCAGAACATATGCATTCATGCCAGCAAAGAAAGAGATCAAATGGGATTAGAAGTTGCCAAAGCATGAGCCTTGTTAGTCAAGCATCAAGGTTTTCATATCTTAAAAAAACCTTGTCTGTTTTATATAAATAAGATGGTTCAAACAAATTAATATTTTCCTGGAAATAATGCTCTGGTATTCAGGGTCTCTTTAGCCAGAAGTTTCTATCATCTTATCCTGTGTCAACAAAGGTCCAGTAGGACTGCTTATTAGCAGAGTATTAGTATTACCCTGTCAATTTAAACACCATTTTAAGAAGCCAGAGCAAATAAAATTTGGTTTTGGATTTTGGTAGTTGTACCTAACTTGCAAAACAACTGCTACAAAATGCAGATAATGTAACTTTCTGCTAAATTTTTTATATAACCTTAAAAATTTAAATGACATATGTCTTCTTTCTGATTTAGGTAACATGCTTATATAAATTTTCCTTTAAAGCAAAGCAAAAAAAAAAAAAAAAGTATAGTTAGAAAAGTGTTAACACAGTGCATATATTATATGTTTAATAAGGTAACTTCATATAAGATTAATATCTTCACTTGTGCAAAGCCTGTATTAGGATTAGTATATAGAAACCATATCAGAGATAAAGATGTGAAAATATTCTGGAATTTTAAAATTGCAGTACAAATATAAGTGATGAAAACAGTAGTAACATAGCCACAAAAGTCAACACATTAGATTCTCTGATCAATCAAAGAAAATGTACTTTCACTTTCTCAAGTGGAGGGCAGATATCATCCTATTTTGTTTTGGAAATGAGGACACTGCTATATTTTAGATTAACACTTTAAATGCTTTTTTTTTTTTTTTTTAAAGATGACAGGTAAAGGGATCTTAACCCTTGACTTGGTATTGTCAGCACCACGCTCTCCCAAGTGGCGAACTGGCTATCCCTATACAGAGATCTGAACCCGTGGCCTTGGTGTTATCAGCACCACTCTCCCAAGTGAGCCATGGGCCTGCCCTTAAATGCTTTTTAAATAAGAAAGAGTGGAAAATATATTCCCAGCAAAATTACAGAGTTCTCTAACAGAGCCTGAGATAATTTAACTATACAAACATTTAATAAGATATTACCTACCATGATATTATAAAAACCATAACACACATAACGAAAAGTCTCCATATAGTCCCACTATTTCTATTTTGTTTAGGAAAAAATTAATTATAAATGAAGAATTTTCTCTCAACACACTATATTCTGTCAAGGAGCAGATGAAAGGTTACATGCAGTAGAAGTAGCAGCAACAGTAATATTTATTGACTCCTTACTAGTCCTACATACTTCCCTGCCAGTAAGTATGCAAGCTGCAGAAGGCTGGTCCACAGCTTCTTCTCCTTCTCCAATTCTTATCCCACCTTTCATATGTCATCTTTTTCCCTTCTACGTACACTAGGAGTCAAGAGTGGCCAACTTGAGCCGGCCCGGTGGCTCACTCGGGAGAGTGCGGTGCTGATAACACCAAGGCCCCGGGTTCGGATCCCATACAGGGATGGCCGGTTTGCTCACTGGCTGAGCGTGGTGCTGACAACACCAAGTCAAGGGTTAAGATCCCCTTACTGGTCATCTTTAAAAAAAAAAAAAAAGAGTGGCCAACTTGAGCCGGCCCGGTGGCTCACTCGGGCGCGTGCGGTGCTGATAACACCACGGCCCCGGGTTCGGATCCCATACAGGGATGGCCGGTTTGCTCACTGGCTGAGCGTGGTGCTGACAACACCAAGTCAAGGGTTAAGATCCCCTTACTGGTCATCTTTAAAAAAAAAAAAAAAAAAGAGTGGCCAACTTGCCAAAAGAATACTTCATTCTGTGAGAAGATGCAGTGAATAGGCTAGGGTTGAAACAGCCCCTTTTGTCTTTGAGTAAAATGTATTTAAACACAGAGCAAGAATGGTAGAAGGAGTGAGTGAAATAGAAGTCTGAAGAACTGGGTATTAGACCAGGTCCAACTACCAATTTGCCATCATTTAATCCCTCTGAGAAGCATTAGTGTCTCCAAGTATAAATTGACTAGGATGGATGAGCTCTAGGGTTCTTTTCAGAAATAAAATCATATGATTCTAAACCCTGAACCTGATATGGAAAGAAAGTTTTATATATAAATACTAGCTTTTGTCCATCCCCTAGTTGCTCCCTCTGCCTTATAAATACAGGTTGAGCATACCTTATCCGAAATGCTTGGGACCAAAAGTATTTCTAGAAGTGTTATTTTAGAATATTTATAGAATACATACTGGTTGAGCACCCCTATTCTGAAAATCTAAAATCTGAAATGCTCCAATGAGCATTTGAATGTTACATCAACGCTCAAAAAGCTTCAGATTTTGTAGCAGTTTGGATTTTGGGTTTTGAGCATGTACTGGTTACATGCTCAACCAGTACTGTATTCATGACAGAGTCCCTAATGCTATTTTCGTTTCAATCAGCAAGAAATTGCTAAAAGATAGGAGAAATATTGTGATCTTAATTTTACTATTATTTTAGTGAAATGCTGCATGAGTTATTTTTCTTTACTAAATAGAGATGAATGTCTTTAACTATGGTTATTGAAAATAAAAAAGAACTATTAAGATCTAGCGTGCCCCAAGAACCCCCCCATCCCCACCTTCTGATAAAAATTTCCAAGAAAAATAAAGTAGATAAAATAGAGCAAAAAGAACCACTCTTCTCTACATCATTCATATTTCACAAAAGGAGCCTATGTGGAGGATGAGAAATTTTCTTTCTAAAGGATAATGTGCAAATCGCTTCAGCCACTATGTGTGATGTTAACCGTGTAGGATGCTCATTATCCATTGAGGACTTTCATCAGATCACTGGGGACCTGGACATCACTTTCTTGACATCACAGTAAAGGGCTAGGATATAGAAACATAGTCTTGAAGCAGGTTTAAAGCTACAAATTTTCTAGGCTACAAATTCCATATTTTACCTGTGTTTTCTTCCAGTAACTATAAACCCTTTGTCACCATTCTTAAGCTCTAAATTCTACTTTAGTCTTTCAAATTGAGATGCCCTCTTTTGTAGTTGTTGAAAATTAGTTCTTTAACTCTACCAAAGTTTTCTTAATCCAAATTCGTGTAGACTAAACAATAACATAGAATGAAGTAGCTAAGTATAAACTGATCCCTTCATCTTTTTTCTGTTCATCCCAGCAAATGGAAAATTCCTTACAACTGCGTATTAAAAAGTAGTATCTATGGTCATTCCAAATTTTTAATATAACTCCTACTAACACAACTCAAATCTGTGTTGTAGAAAAATGAATGCAGCTGTTTTTGAAAAAAGTCATAAAATAGTTCATTCTACTTTTGACAAATTCTAGAAGGTTCATTCGAGACAAATTATCCTCACAAAAACTTCAAATCTTAGTATTATAAGGTCCGAGTCTAGAAGAGCTGGGACTCCCTAATGCCATCATAATCAAAACTTTGGCATATTCTACCATTAGAGACTAGAATGAACTGAACTGTTGCCAAATACCAAGAATTTGTTATCATAACCCAAACCAGTGAAAACAGTGGTAGGAAGCAAAGTCCTATTGTTTTCTGACCTAAAACTAAAATTGGTTCCATAGATTGTATTTCCCCAGTATTAATACCAGTGGCATCCATCACTATATCTATAGCTTAAATTCTTTCGAAATCTTAGTATTTGCTTAAAACCTTCACTACTCTCTTTTGTCACAAACATCTGTTTCTTCCTGTCCATGCTATTTCAGAAAACCTTTCCAGTTTTCTTTCCATAGCACGCCCAGGAGTAGGCCTCTCAAGAGACTTCCCCAGCATATCTTGTCTTTCAATCCCAAGAATAGAAGTCCTGCTGCTCTAGAGGGCAGCCCTATAGACAAAAGGTCACAGCATTCTGTTTTAAAGTCTCACACAGCACTGCAAACCAGGCACAGTTACCTCTGGACAGATTATTGCAAAAACCAGTTATACCACAGGTTCATCAGGCCAGTTTTAACTCCATCTGTGTTTAGGTGACAAATAAAGCTTGACAAAGGAAAAAGACAGGAATAAAAAATGCTGATTTGAATTTTCAACAAGGTAGGTTTGTTTCTGCATGTCCAAACTAACTTCTCTCCATTTAATTAAACTTATTTTTCTCCATTTAATGGAACTTCTTATAATACTATAAATTTCCTAAAATGATATTAATAGACAAATATTCCCTAGTTTCAAATCTTAAAATACTCAAATTCTCACACAACTACTTCCATTTTCTTTGGCAAAGGCATTTCTGCTTTAAATATGTATTTGACTTTTGAAAATCCATCCTTTCATAGCTCTTCCCCTCTTAAGAACTTACAGTTAATTGCATTTCTTTTACAAACCTATAGCTATGTGATGTGCTTGACATAAACAAAAAAGATGTCTATAAGATCATAAGTTAAGTTTACAGTTCAAACCTGGAAAAAATTAAAATTTACAGATAAATGGGTTGGACTAAGAATATAAAATGAATTGCGGGCAAAGGAATAATGAAACTCATTCATGCTTGAGCACAATGAATCCTATGTTTTGGAAGGAGCATTAATAAGAACTCAGGACTTGGGGGAAATGAGTAACCTGTGCTTCTGATACAAGGAACAATAGATATGAGTCAATTAAGAAATGAGAAAGAAATCTGGGAAAATGAAGTACTGCTGCCTGGTATTTAGAAGCATCAATTCAGTTGGTAAGTTAAAAATGCAGGATTATGGGGCCGAGCCCGTGGCGCACTCGGGAGAGTGCAGCGCTGGGAGCGCAGCATCGCTCCCGCCACGGGTTCAGATCCTTATAAGGATGACCGGTGTGCTCACAGAGCTCACTGACCGAGCGTGGTGCGGCTGGTCTCAAAAAGGACAAAAAAAAAAAAAAAAAGCAGGATTATGGGCTAATGTCAATTTCTCGATAGCTGGCCTTTACTCAGAATGTCTATCTTACTGAATTTTCACTTTTCCTAGATCTCTTACTAACATGTAGAAAGTATTTTCCTAATTTTAGAGGCTGGGTGACCCCAAACTTCCCGACACGTGTTGTAACAATCAATTTTTTGAGCATGTTTCTTAAGAAGAGAATATGGTAAGAAGGTTGAGGATGCTGCTGTCTTACCTCCATGATGGGGTTGGAGGCTAAGACCTTCTCTTCAACATTGGCCTCACTGGCAGAACCACTCACAGTTGCAAAGTATCGCATGGCATACTTAGCTGAAACTGTTTTGCCTGCCCCAGACTCTCCGCTTACAATGATGGACTGATTTCGTTCATCCCTGTAAAACAAAGAAGAGTAACTGCCAGTGTGCCCACTTTGGGATATGATTAACATTATTTCCCCTCTGTTCTCATTGATGAGGCACAATGAGTTTCCGCTAGTTCTTACATGCAACAATGTGGAAAGGAACCTAAGAATGGTTTTTCCTAATAAGAATATCTACTTATAAACTTAAATGAACAGAGAGGGAAAAGAGGATGTCAAGCATTAAATTAGAGAGCACTACATCTAAGAATGACTCTGTGATACAGGGTCTCAATTTTTTTGTGCATACATATCTCAAACATATTATTTCATTCCCAGAGAATTACTTTGATATCTTACAGTACTATTATCATCCACCTCAGAAGATAAAAAAAATATTCTTTGGAGTCATAGCAAAGGAATTTAAAAGAAATTTTTGTTTAATTAAAATTACAAAAGCATTTAAAGTATTTCAAACTGTCTACTAGCTAACGATCTATAAAGTGGTATCCTCCACAAACTCCAGCTGCTACTAGAATATCCTTATCACTAGAGAAGAAATAGTACATTTGCTGGCTGGTTTCACTCAAATATGTCAAGCCACAACTCATGTCAGAAGATACTGTGATAGCACACCAATTACTATTACGTTAAAAGATTTATAACAAGAATGCATATCTAAATATGTATTGCATACCAGCAGTACAGTAAAACCTCAAAATGAACCTTTTTTTTCAGGAGGAAAAAAAGGCTATGGAGTCCATCTAGTATTTACCTAGTATTAATCTTCTCAGAACTCAAAGACTATCTAATATTACATCTTTAATTCATTCACACAGTGATGCAAAAACTCTTAAGGATGAACTTGCCTCCAAGACTACGATTTCTTTGATGTTGAGAGCCTATGTCTTCTTTATCTCTAATATCGAGCATCTAGTCCAGAGCCTGACACATCACAAATACTCAATAAATGTATACTGATTGTAAATGAGTAGAACTTTAATGAGCAACCTAGCCTAGAAATAAAGCTCTCCACTTTGGCTACGATTCCTACTAGAAGAGAAACAGAAAATTTCCATTTCCTGAGACAAACCTAGCAGTGGGCTTTAACTCATCAAAATAGTTGAACAAGTACATAAAAGTGGTGTTATGAGTGCCCTAATTTACAGAGACAAGATGACCTCAAAGGTTTTTAGGAGAACTATCTTACAAGGCCACAAAGACAGGGAGGTTGTTCCATTACAGATACCTTTTTATCTTTTAAAAGAGATTTTTTTTTTTTTTTTTTTTTGTCTTTTGTCTTTTTTCCGTGTCCGGCAACGGATCGCAACCCTCAGTGTTGCCCCCGTACCGGACCGGGGACCGGCAACGGGATCGCAAGCCTCGGTGTTGCTCCCGCGCCTCGCTCAGCCAGTGAGCGGGAACCGGTCTGTATATGGGATCCGAACCCTCGGACGGGAGCGCCGCCGCGCTTCCCAAGCGGCACACCATCCAGTGCGCCACCGGGCCGGCCCTTAAAAGAGATTTATTTGCATAACAAATATTTATCAAACACTAGTACTACTTCATAAAATCGTATTAATAGACAAATAGTCCTCTAATTATAAAATAACTAGCATCTTAGAATACTCGTATTTTCACACAAAAGAGAAAAATGGCATTTTCTTTGACAAAGGCATTTCTACTTTGAGTATGTATTAGACTTTCGAAAGTCCATACAGCTCTTCCCCTCTCAAGAACTTAGTTATTGAATTCCTTTTACAAACCTATAGCTATATGATTTGCTTGACAGAAATAAAGAAAGATATTTACAAGATCATAGGTTAAGTTTATAGTTCAGATCTTGAAAAAACCTATTACGACTATCAAATTTATCCAAACATTATGCAAAATACTACAGAGACAAGTTAAATAAGCTCTAAGCCATATCCTCATGTAGTTGATGGTCTAATAGGAAAGATACCAGTAATTCATTATATATACATGTGGTAGGGCATTGAGAGGAAGAAGTGGTGATCAGGGAAAGTACCCTAGAGATGACACCTGAGCAAGGTCTAGAAGGATGAATAGGAGAAAGCAAGCAAGGAATGGGGAAGTCAAGAAGGCAAAGGGGACAACATAAATGAAGGCTCAGAATCCTAAGAACGTGGGAAAGAACAGATAATTCAGTTTAGCTGGAAAAAGAGGTTAGCAAGGATCAGATCATAAAGGTCTTATACAAGATGTTAAGGAATTTGAACTTTACCTAAAGTTCATGGAGTGTCATTGCAGGGTTTTAAACAGGAGAATAATGTCACCCAATTAATAAAATCACTCTGGCAGCAATTTGTAGTAAGGGTGGCATGGGTCCAGATGAAAAATTATAAAAGTCTGAACAAAGATTGTGGTGGTCAGCATCAAAAGAGGCAGATTTGAGAGACACCAAAGTGGTAGAATCAACAGCACTTGGTAATAAATTTCCAAAGTAGAAATTTAGAACTTTTTTAAGAAAAAGGTTCTTGTTTCTTTGAGAAATAAAGGAGCATGCTGCCTTATTTTACAGATGGATTTAGTGCTGATAACACCAAGGTCCGGCCAGGTTCAATCCATGTGCCAGCCAGCAAAAAAAAAAAAAAGATAAGAAAAATATAGTGGGAGTACCCAGTTCAGGCCTAATTCAGTACATCACATTATAGTGCTGGGTACATGGCAGCCTACTCCTGACGCTCTGATTTTCACATTGTGGGGAAAATCAGGAGGACCCAGGTGACACTAAGAAACGGCTAATTCTTATAGAACAAGCTTGCATGTAATCCCAATTTTTATGAAACTTTCTTGAACCTCACATTCACTATTTCACCTTTTGTTTGGATTTCTAGACTGAACTGGGTACTCCCATTGCCTCTGTTTGTTCATGGCTGATTACAAGATGAATCACTCCAGAAAAACAGTTCTCATTGCGGTGCCAACGTCCTCTTTATTTAATCATTTAAACTGTTCTCAGAATTTATCTTTTTCAATACATTTATCAAGGGTCAGTAATCAGCAGTCTTTGGATTCCCTTCCACAATATGATCAGAAAAACAAACTCTTCCCAGGCTGACCGGTTAGCTCAGTTGGTTACAGTGTAGTGTTATAACAACCAAGTCAAGGGTGTGGATCCCCATACCAGCCAGCCACCCAAAACATAAAATAAACTCTTCCTAATTCCTGCATGATCGATTCTGTCAAGATACCTTGTGTGACAACTAACTTGAGAAAATTCCCCCAGCACTCCTTCCAATAGCAATCAGGGTAAGAAATCTGAGAAAAAGAAAATCTTAATGGAAAATGCTACCTTAAACTCTACTGATATTGAAAGGCTATTTCAAGAGCTAATGACAAAATATATCAAAAAATCTAAAAATTCATGTGTAATAGCCCTTTCCTAAAATATGGGGAAGAAGAAAAACATTAAAGGCAATAAAATCAAGGACTGTTCAAACAAATCACACAGACTTTGTATAAATACACACAAACAGTGATGTCAAGCACATGCCACAGATAAATATATTTTCTTTTCTAGGACCTATGGATCCTAGATCCATATGACCAACAGTTTTTAAATGTTTTTAAAGGACCTTTATGTTTCTTTTATTTCCCTAACTTGCTGGTGGAGAGACTTCCCTTTTTTACCATGCTTAGTAGATAACTCCAATATATAAATAAGTACTACTCTTCTATTATATAAATCTCTCTGAATCTGGGTTCTAGTCCTAGCTCTGTCATTTACCAGTTTTATGGCTTTGAGCAATTCCATAATCTCTCTGGGTCATAGTTTTCTCCTCCTTTAAGAATAAATGGCATTTAAGGTCCTTTCAAATTCTCAAGTACTGTGATCTAAAAGTCAAACTAACTATGGGGTTGATTTTTCAGATGTCGGGTTGGCCATAGCCTATACTCTAATCCTGGGTGAATTCTTGGGACCAAAGATAATCAGAACAGGATAGCTCTACAGATACTCAGGTGGTCTTGAATGGCTGTAATTGAGATGGACAACATTTTCCCTCTGGAGGGCCCCTAAATCAGAGGCAGCCAAAATCAATAAAGGGCTACAAAGGGGAAAAATGCAAACTAATCCACTGACCTGTTTTTAAATTAAGAACAGGAAAGAGAAATCGTTGTAAAATAAGTACATACAGTCTATAAAATGTATTTCAGTTCTATGTGGAAGAAATGCCAAAAAGAACGGACAAGTAAGAACAGGAGACAGATAGAAGTAGGGACCCAAGCAGAGACACAGAAGGGAGGAGAATACATAAGAAAGAAATAAAGACATACACAGGGAAAACCAAGAAGAGTATGATAGAGATAGGGAGAAAACAGACAAAGGTAACAGGGATGAAAGTTTTATGGTCCACTTTTTCTATTCATTTGACCTGTACGCTTTAGACTGTTACATGTATGTAAATAATAATTTGTTCTTCCTTGAAATTCTGATTAGCTGATCAGCCAACATTCACAATCCTCTGGGTGTTATTGCTCTTACATTACAAGAACCTTCTTTCTACTTTTGGGATGTAGATATCACTTCAAGGACCTGATAAAATCAGGTTAAGGGACAGAGATGCTCCATACTTCACCAAGAACAAATCAATCTGGAGCACAAATCAAATCTCTGGATGCATGAACCAAAAATTTACAATTTCTGGCTTGGCCAGTCCTCTCAAAGGCCTCTACAATGATTCTAAATAGCCTGGATTCTGGGTGCTTTGGAATAGAGGTAGGGTATTCTGACCTGTTTCAGTCAAAGGTGGTTCCTGAGGCTCTAATATGAACTAAAAGATCACATCTAAAACTACTGCTTCATTCGTTCACTCAACATATATGTAATGAGCAGCAACAATGTACTAACCACTTTTTGGTTTTAAAAGCCTCTAGGGTCATAACCTATTGAGGGAGACAAAAAAGTATACACTTAAAATACAGTGAGGAATAATGGCTACTAAAAAAAGTTCTACCCAGGATACTACAAAAGCATGAAGGAAGGGCATGTAACTAGCAAAAGATATGAGG